TGGAGGTAAGCATGTTTTAGCCATGTTTTTAAACTAGGAATTATTTTGAATGAATAATAAAACAGTTAATGAATTCGGCTTTCGTATCATATGAAGAATTATGGAGATCTTGGAGGATGTTATCCGCCTCGGCCTACGGCCTCGACAGATAACACCCTCCTCGATCTCCATAATTCTTCATAAGATACTCAGCCTCATTCATTAATTGTTAATATCCTACTCAGCCTCATTCATTAACTGCCAAATATCTTTTTATAGTAGTATAAACTGTTCAATGCCATCTTGAAAAGCATCAGACTTTTGCCTTTTGATATTAAGAATAACAAGACGTCAATAAAAGATGTGGTAATACCGAAAATGTACAAAACATTCAGAGAATTATATTTGCGCTAGCTAAGAAAATAGCGGTCATTTCGCTACGCTAAGACTGGTTTCTCCGCAAAATGACGTCCGATAAAAGACTGCAGACTAATGCCATACTGATGACGTGTCACTAACAAGATCTAGGTAGTGCCTCCAATTGGTCGTGCAGCGAGGGAAATTTGCTTCAACCAATCAGAAGAACAACCCAGGTCTGGGTAGTAATACGTCATCAGTAAGGCATTTCGCATTCGTACCACAGTCATCATTTTGCGGGGAACCACTGATGTCGGGTGTTTTCTCAGTGTGTATAAATTGCGCCCCTTTTAAATAAGGTTTATGCTTCCTACGATTTTATTTTCCGAAACAATACAACAATAACTAATAATGGTCACTCGTTGGTCACGCTCTACGTCCAATTTTTAAGCTCTGATTGGTCAAAATTTGACGCGTCAGTTCATGCTAAAAATTTATGCAGTATCTTGAATCTTGTTTACTTTGACAGCTAGTTTGTTTACTGGGTTTTTGGTTGAGAAATGCGTTGTAGAAGGCCTAAATGTAATAAACACAGCATGTTTGTAAAGATTTTCCAAGTTTCATCTGACGAGGGAATGGGTAAATAAAGTAAATTTGTCTAGTTTTCAACTCAAAAACATTTTATAATTCGTGCTTGTGTGATTAGCGCTCGAAGAGCAAAACATCTTGACTCCACACATGTTTACATACTCTTATGCAAACACAATTCTCTCGGCTAATCAGAGCGCGCGCGTACTATCCTAGTTATTTATAAACGTTGTTTTCAGCTGTGCAGTAGTCTTTAGGGCCTGTTTCCTTGGAGGTGGGGGACCCCAGACAGGTGAGGTAACATGCGGCGGGTCACCCCACCTATCATGTAAACGTGATCAAATTAAAATGAGAGATTATGTGGACAGGAGGGTTACCCACCAAAGCGGCTTACCTCACCTACCTGGGGCACCCCACCTCCGTGTAAACAGGCCCTATAGGCTTCTCGTTTTTTGTTTTTAATATTATAGCTGATTAGATCTCTTTTCTAGAGATCCAACGTTGACAAGCAACACGATCTTCGTCCACGGTTTTTGCAGTAAATTTCTTTAACAAAAATGAAGTATGAAAAACCTTTTAAGGCTTACAAGTTTTTCTTTTATTTTGTCCCTTTACAAGCAATTTATTTGTAAACATCAAGTTACACAGTGCATAAGGAAATGTACCGACGCTTATTAAATTTTTTCTCCAAAAATGCGGCGCTTATTTGAGGGCGACGCTTAACACCATAGTAATACCTCTTAGTACCGTATTACGCGAATAAGCGCCGCGATGCATATTGTAACTACCGACCGTCGTCAGTTTATTTTATTCTATTTGTTTTATTTTTCCCCCTTTTTTTTGTTTTTATTTGCATATCTGCGTTTTGGTTCGCACTTCCGGTCACATGATAGTCATGTGACCGGAGAGCACATGGTAGAGCAAGGCGCCATTTTTTGTTGTTGTTTTTCTGCAAGAGCAAACAGTTCTTCAACGTACAAGTACAAGGACACGTACACTGTATATTTAAAGTGACATTTTTGGAGCAAGTACAGGAAGCAGTATTCAGAGAATAAATTGCTTTAACCAGGGTTCAGTTTGTGGAACTCAAAGTTGAAGAACTGTTCGCCGAATCGACTGATGTTTGGGTTCTCAGGGAGAACACAGCTTCGACGAGTTTGAATTTCATTGATCGGATTTGGAACTTGCTTTCAAGGAAAGCACGGCATCAAGTAAGGATTTATCTGTTATTTTTCGCATTTGCATTTGGATCGTTTTGTTCTCAGGGAGAACATTTATTTGACAAGAATTTGTTGTGATTTGTCGCATTTGGAACTTTGTCGCGTTCATTGTAATTGTCCACATCTACGGATTATTCAAGCTTACGTCTAGTTCAATTCTTCGCGGAGAACGATATTCTAACAGGGATTGGTTCTTATTTACGTCTGGATTTGTTGCTCATTCAAGTGTGTGGGAACGTTTGGATCGTTTTGTTCTCAGGCAGAACATTTATTTGACAAGAATTTGTTGTGATTTGTCGCATTTGGAACTTTGTCGCGTTCATTGGAATTGTGTCCACGTCTACGGATGATTCAAGCTTACGTCTAGTTCAATTCTTCGCGGAGAACGATATTCTAACAGAGATTGGTCTCATTCACGTGTGGATTTGTTGCTCATTCAGTTGTTTGGAAACGTTTTGGATCGTTTTGTTCTCGGGGAGAACATTGGTTTATGCGAACGATTTTCGTGTTATTTGACACTGCATCACGCTCGTTGCTTTGCGAGAATTGTTTTACATGTACAACCTTTGAGACTTGTGTGGGACTTTTATATTACTTATTTGCTATCAGAGAAAATAGTGGATGTCTAAGGTATGTGACAATAGCCATCTTGTTTGTGTTTGGAGTTTATTTGTTTTGTGGCCAATAGTACAGTGGAGCAAAATGTCTGTTCGATCAGTGCCTGTTGCTGACAAACTGGAACAACAAAATGTCCAGGAAACTCTGTCAGAGGGCAGACTTGGAACCCAATTAAGAAGAAGTTCCCGAGTTAAAGTACCATCTAATATAGATTTTGAAAGTAGAACAGCTGAGAGGGCAAACACATTGAAATATTCCTGTGCAGGTTATGTTGCAACCCTCACGAGACTGCGAGGGAACATTCAAGGCATAATTGAGAACTGTGGAACTTTGGAAGACTTACAATTAAAGCGAGATTCGTATGAAGAAGCTTGGAGGAGATTCGTGAACACCCATGAAGAGTACATTGAATGTCTTGATGTTCTTAGTCGTTGTGAAGACGTTGAAAGGGCTGACGCTAACTACAAGGAGCAGATGTCAAAGAAAGCAACATTTGACAATGAAATTGAAACATGGAAATTCCAAGTCACGTCTAGTATTAAGAAACGAGAGAATGACTTGAAATCCTATCCAAGAAAGTCAAGGAAGAGTACGAAAAGCGGGTCAACTGGCTCAAGTTCAGCTTCATTAGCAGTGGCGAAGAAAAAGGAAAAACTTGCCCTAGCCCAACTGAAGACCAAGCAAGTGCTGCAGGAACAACAGTTACAACGCAAATTAAGTGAGCTTCAATTTGAGAAGGACATGTTGGAGGCTAAGATGGAGGAAGAGCGGGCTAAAGCGAGTCTTAATGTGTATGAAGAGTTTGAGAATCAATGCAGGAAGAGTCAGTATAGGGAGCGTTTAGCAGAGTTTATACCTGAGGAAACCTTACATCCACATGGGAATCAGGCACAGAATGTGGCTCAGTCGCAGCTAATCGAGCCACACGAACAACTAGTACAAGAGCTTGCACCTCTGGAGCAGGTGCCTGCATTAAGAGTCAATGAGAGAATCATGAATTCAGCTGCTAAGACATTTCAGTCAGCAAGCGTTACAGTGCCCAACCCAGTGTTCTCAGAAACCGAGCATACAGTTTATGTTGATGAAGCTGGAACAGGTAAACATACAGAGCAACTGAATAACGCAAAGGACACTGAAGCATTGAGAAATCCGCCTGTAAATCCATCAGTGCTAAATTTATCACAACAAGTACAGACACCACTAACAACCCACTTTAACACCAAAGAGTACTCACAATGGCCAACTCAGGTACCCTGGTCCCAGACCCCTGGTGCAGTCCCAGCAGAATGTTATATGCGAGAACCAGTATCGGTGACACCAGATAGCAGAGCAGAGATAGTACAAGCACTGCGTCAAGTTGTTTCTGCCCCAAGGATCGAGTACATGAGATTCGATGGAGACCCCATAAAGTATGTCTCTTTCATGCACAATTTTGAAACCTGCTTAGAGAAAGATAACCCCGACAACTCCAGGAGATTACAGCTATTAATCCAACACTGTTATGGCAAGGCAAGGGATGCCATTGAAAGTTGTGTGAATCTACCAGTAGACGAGGGATATTATGTAGCTAAGAATACCTTACGCGAAAACTTTGGACTGCCTCACATCATAGCCAAAGCACATATCAAGAAGTTGGAAGACCTACCTCCCTTGAAACAGGCGAATGGAGCAAGTTTACTTGAATTTGCCCGCCATTTAGATGTTGCCAATAGAACACTGTCAGGCATGGGGCCTGAATACGTCAGTGATTTGAATCACACGAATACGTTAAGGGAACTGAACAAGAAGCTGCCACTGTTTATGAGGGTCAAGTGGACAGAATGTGCAGGAAGGATTATTTCATTTGGATCGAAACCTAAGTTTGCAGACTTCCTTAAACACTTAAAGGACAGAGCTGCGCTTGTTAATAATGAGTTTGGAGAGGATCTTAACGCTGCTCCTTCGAAGGAAAGGGAGAATGTGAATCGGAGAGACCAACGAGGTCGAAATCCTCGAAGACTTGTGTCACTATCTGGAGGTGTCCGAGGTCGACAGGGAAATGGGGGGACACAACCAAAAAAAGGCCTGCTTGTACCGTTTGTCGTGGTCAGCATGGTGTGTGGAGGTGTGATAAGTTTAAGAAGCAATCTCATCAAGACAGATGGAAAGTAGTGCATGAACAAAGCCTTTGTATCAAGTGTCTCCAGAGCGGTCATTTTGCAAGAAACTGCCCCAAAACTCAGTTCAAATGTCAAGTGAATGGATGTAAGAAGGAACACAACACACTGCTACACCCCCCCTCCAGCAGATTCAACCCCACCAAGTGTTAATCCACGCCAGCTTAATCAGGAAGAAACAAGGGCGAACACCAACAGTGAAACCAGTGGAGTAACTAGTGAAGGTGCTGCCGTAACTGCTACAACTGGGGCCGGCGAGCGAGTCTGTCTTAGTGTTGTTCCAGTCAAGGTCCTAGCCAAAGGTAGCAATTTGATACCTGTTGAAACATATGCGTTGTTGGACAGTGGCTCAGAAGTGACTCTTTGCCATGAAAAGTTGAAGGAGACATTGGGTGCAAGCGGCACGAGGCTGGACTTCACTTTAGCAGGGATGACGGGCTCAGCCAGAGTGGAAAGTCAACAAGTAGATCTTGTGGTGATGTCAATGGATGAATCAGTGACAGTGGAACTTTCAAGCGTCAGGACAGTCAACCATATGCCTATAACTGAGAGCTGTATAGCCAAGAAGGAGGACCTTGAAAATTGGCCTCATTTGCGTGATATTGAGTTACAACAGTTGGACATCACAAGTGTCATGTTAATTGTTGGTCTTAAAGACAACCCGAGCTTGTTCTTGCCGTTAGAATGCCGAGCTGGTGGCAAAGGAGAACCAGTAGCAATTAGGGTACAGCCTGGGATGGACGGTGATAGGTCCTGTTGGTGGAGAAAGCTGTACTGCCGAACGCTCAGTCAACTACCTACGTATGGAAGATAGCTCTGTTGTGTGCGCAGGTGGTTTAGATTTTGAAGATTATGTTCTTTGCAAAGACCACAAGAAGAGTGTTGTGTTGTCTACAGGGCTAAACAGTGAAGATGCCTATGAAGAGAATGTTGCAGACATGAACTGTGTCCTTGAATTAGAATGTAATGCCAGTGAACCCAAGCATCGTTTACAGATAGATGAAATTGATCGTCAAGCTCGGGACGATGAGCTTAGTCAGCAGTTGGAGCGACTGTGGAGAACAGATTTTGAAAACTGTGAAGTCGAGACGCGAGTTTGTGCATCGTTGGAAGACAAAAGGGCCCTAGAAATAATGGAGAGAACTCTTAAGATGGTAGATGGACACTTTCAGGTTGCCCTGCCTTGGCGACATGAGCCACCATTTTTACCTAACAACAGGGTAGTTGCAGAGCGAAGAGGTTTGCTTCTAAAGAAACGACTCCTGAAAGACGAAGCCTTGTTGGAGAAATACAAGACAACAATGGCTGATTACATTGAAAGTGGCCACGCTGAAAAGGTCCCCGATGAAGAGTTAGAGATAAAGGACAGACCGGTGTGGTACCTACCTCATCATCCCGTTACTCACCCCTTAAAACCCGGCAAAGTGAGAGTAGTTTATGATTGTGCTGCCAAGTACGGAGGGTCGTCATTGAATCAACAACTTTTACAGGGACCTGATCAAACAAATCAATTAGTGGGTGTCCTTAGTCGGTTTAGACAAGAGCCCATTGGAGTGGTAGCTGACATTGAAGCGATGTTCCATCAGGTGTTGGTGGAACCTAAGGACTGTGATGCACTTAGATTTTTGTGGTGGCCCAATGGAGACTTGTCTCGAGAATTGGAAGAATATAGAATGGTGAAGCACCTATTTGGAGCCACATCTTCCCCAGTATTGCTAATTTCTGTTTGAAAAAACCGCCGAGTTACATGGAGAAGGGTTCGAGGAACAGACAGTGGAAACGGTGAAGCGTAACATGTATGTGGACGACATGATGAAGTCAACAAACACTACCGAGAAGGCAGTTGTGCTGGTGAGTCAACTCCAGGAGCTACTAAGAAGAGGTGGTTTCCATTTGACAAAGTGGTATAGCAATGACAGAGATGTGCTAGCAGCGATTCCAGAATCTGAAAGGGCCAAGTCATTTGCAAACTTGGACTTGGAGAAACTGCCGACCGAATCTGCTCTAGGTCTCAAATGGAACACAGAGGAAGACAAATTTGTGTGGGAGGTCTTGGAGAAGATCCTTCAAGTTGCTAATCAGCGGCCAATGACACGCAGAGGAATAGTGTCAGCCGTTTATTCTCTTTTGATCCCCTGGGTTTTATTGCACCATACATCATGAAAGCCAAACTGTTGTTGCAAGCCCTTAGTAGAAAGAACGTTGGTTGGGATGATCTCATTGGGGAGGCTGAGAAAATCCAGTGGAGGCGATGGCTGGATGATCTTCCCAAGTTACAGGAAGTGCAAGTAGATCGTTGTTTCAGACCCAGAGAGTTTGGCGAAGTAAGAGAAGTACAGTTACACCTTTTCTCAGACGCATCTCGTCAAGGATACGCATCGGTTGCATACCTCCGTGTGAAGGACGAGAACAGTCGAATTCATTGTGCATTCGTAATGGGAAAGGCGAGGTTAGCCCCAGTGCGCGAGATTTCAATTCAAAGGTTGGAATTGACAGCTGCAGTCATCTCCGTGAAACTCTCTAAGATTATCCGTGAAGAATTGGATATGAACTTCCAGAAAGTGTTCTACTGGACCGATTCAATGTCAGTGTTGAAGTGTATCAGCAACGAATCAAAAAGATCCACACGTTCGAATCCAATCGTTTGACGGTGATACATAATGGATCTTCCCACTCCGAGTGGCATTATGTAAACAGAGATAATAATCCTGCAGATGATGGCTCAAAGGGACTTAAATTGGATGACATGTTAAAAAAATGATCGTTGGTTGAGAGGTCCGGAGTTTCTTTGGGGGAATGAGAGCCTTTGGCCAAGGATGGTTGAAATTCCAGCATTGAAAGATGACGACCCTGAAGTCAGGAAGGAGGCTCAGATTTACACCGTTGTTGTTCAAAGTAAATACCTGGAGCCCTTAATAGCACGCTACTCGTCTTGGTGGAAGTTGAAAAGGGCTGTAGCCTGGTTGTTGCGGTACAAGGCGTACCTTTTACGGAAAGTTCAGCTGAGTAAGAGGAGCGCTTTAGTTTCGAGTGAATCCCAAGTCCAGAGCGGCGAAGTGCCATTCGTGAAATATGGCTACTTGAAGGTGGCAGAGCTTCAGGAGGCTGAGAAGGAAATCCTCAAGGAAGTACAGCAAGTGTCTTTCCCTCAAGTCATCGAGGTTCTCTCATCAGCAGGAAGTTGCGATGCAGATGGTTGTGTTAAAAGGGTCCTTCGAAAGGCAGGAACGGCGTTGCATCAGCTCAACCCACGCTTAGAAGATGGTTTGCTGAGGGTTCGTGGCCGACTAGCACTTGCCCCGGTTCCTTATGAGAAGAAACACCCTATTATCCTTCCCTACAAGCATCATGTGACGGATCTGATTATCAAGCAGTATCATGAGAGTTTGGGTCACATGGGTCAAGAATGTGTTTTGTCTTCTTTAAGAGAAACATTCTGGGTGGTCAAAGGAAGGTCAGCAGTGCGACGAGTGTTAAGGAGATGTATAGACTGTCAGCGAAGAAACACACGCCCGGGAGAGCAGTTTATGGCAAATTTACCTGAAGAGAGGCTAACCCCTGACAAGCCACCATTCACATTTGTTGGTGTCGATTATTTCGGGCCGATTGAAGTAAAGCAGGGCAGATCCCATGTGAAAAGGTATGGATGCCTATTTACGTGTTTGACAATGCGAGCGGTCCATATAGAAGTGGCCCATTCCTTGGACACTGACTCAATGATAAATGCACTCAGAAGATTCATCAGTATTCGTGGTTGTCCTGAGCAGATAAGAAGTGATCGAGGTACAAACTTTACTAGCGCAGAAAGGGAGTTAAAGGAAGCCATAGAGAGATGGAATCAGCAGAAGATCAACAGTTTTTGTGGACAGAAGATGATAGAATGGATTTTCAATCCACCAGCGGCGAGCCACATGGGCGGCATCTGGGAGAGGATGATACGTTCTGTGCGCCAGATCTTGCGAGCGATGTTGAAGGAGCAGGTAGTCTCCGATGAGGTCCTCTCAACTGTTTTGGCAGAGGTGACGAATATTCTCAATTCCAGACCCCTCTCAAGAAATAGCGACAGTCCTTTAGACGAGCAACCATTAACCCCTAATCATTTGTTGCATCTGCGCCCGTGCCCAAGTGTACCTCCAGGGGTCTTCGACAAGGACGACCTCACCTGCAGACGTGCTTGGAGGCAAGCGCAGTATCTTGCCAATTTGTTCTGGCGTAGGTGGACGAGGGAGTACCTGCCCACTCTGTTAGACAGGAAGAAGTGGACTGAGCCAAAAAGGAATTTACAAATTGGTGACTTGGTGCTTGTAGCAGACGAAACCTTTTCCAGAGGGAAGTGGCCGCTTGGAAGAGTTGTGGAAGTTATTGCGAGCCGCGATGGGTGGGTGCGCGCAGCGAAGGTGAAGACAAGTGCAACAGTAGCAACATGTGCCAAACGACGGTACAGAAGAGAACCTGTGACCGCAGCCAGTACCACCATACTTACACGCCCAGTTACAAAGTTATGTTTTCTGGAGATGGATGGAGTGGCCGATAGAGTAGAACCAGTTTAAGTGACTTTGCAGCAGTGCAAGGAGATGATTTAATGAACGTTGATATGAACATTGGCTTTGATAGTCATGAACAGTGATTCTAATCATTCCTTTATAACGTTGTGTTTAGTTGTAGTCGGTAGCCTATGTTTGTAAATGAGATTGCTGTCGGTGCATTCTCATTTAGGGGCCGGTGTAACTACCGACCGTCGTCAGTTTATTTTATTCTATTTGTTTTATTTTTCCCCCTTTTTTTTGTTTTATTTGCATATCTGCGTTTTGGTTCGCACTTCCGGTCACATGATAGTCATGTGACCGGAGAGCACATGGTAGAGCTAGGCGCCATTTTTTGTTGTTGTTTTTCTGCAAGAGCAAACAGTTCTTCAACGTACAAGTACAAGGACACGTACACTGTATATTTAAAGTGACATTTTTGGAGCAAGTACAGGAAGCAGTATTCAGGGAATAAAGTGCTTTAACCAGGGTTCAGTTTGTGGAACTCACACATATTAACCCCCAATGCGGCGCTTATTTGAGTAATTACTGTAATTTGCAACGTAAGAGTTTATTACATTTAGGACTTCATTACATTTAGGGTCGTTTATTAAATTTAGGCCTTCTACATAGTTACGTCACTTGTCAAAGTCGGAAATCCGATTTCGGATGGCACCGTTTTCGTTTTTCACCTTGCTTAATGCGTAAGAGGGTTGCAAAGTCTGAAGCGATACTGGCCTTACTTGATACCTTTCGGGGGCTGCATCTCCAAAGGTAAGCCTGATTAATTATTGTATTTGATGTTTGTTTTTTACATCTAATTTAATGAAGTCGAGCGTAGTTTATATGGTCTTATATGGCTATTTAGTCGATGCACGTTTGTAAGATTTGAGAAAATGATCTGACTGAGTACATATAGGTCTGAGTATCAGGTTTGATTTAATAAGCTTACAGAACTTTAAGAAGCCTTTCGACATTTTCTAACCACAAATAGAAAGAAAACGTTCCAAAGAATATTTAGCTATAATTCTGGCTGTAAAAGAAAGCTTTGAGCGATTTTCTTGCCTCGAGTTCATCTTTGAAAAAGGCAAACACCGGGAAGCCGGCTTAATTAAAACATAAACTTAAGCTTGAAGCTTGAAGACTCAGGATTTTTAGAGACACTTTAATGCTTGTCTTCGTGAATGAAAATTGTTGTCTCTGAATATGTTTAACCGAATTATATTTCTTTTATTGATTGTTAGTAGTCTCTCTTATAATTTTAATCGCTGTGCCGTTTGTTTTCAGTCGTTCGATGAACATCGTTTGCAGGAGTACTCAAAATGCCGCGCTATCAAACGCTTTTGAAGATTACACATCGATAAAACCAAAAAATAAAAATAAACATAATAAATTCCTTTTTATGTTGGAGCGTAGCTCTATTAATGTTCATTCAAACACTTGACTACAGCTCGCACTGCAAAATGAGAACCGGCTGGTCGTATATTGGCCATTTCGGAGTTGCGTAGGGAACTGGGGCGAGTTTCAAATTTAAATTAATCGATAAACTGACACCACCATATAAAAGGTCATGTCGAGATTGGTCATTTGACCAAGTTTGGTGCTCTAAGGTTGAACAGGGATCAAGTTTTACGTCTATAATGTTTCGACAGCGTCCCCAAAACCATATAAACTCTGTAAAATTTTTCAGTTTTTCTTTTAAAATGTAAAATTCGACATGCATCTACTACTTGGAACGAACTAATTCGAAAATCACTGTGTTTTCCCATTTTTAGGAATATCACAGAAATCGTGAAAAAAATTAAGAGTTTATATGGTTTTGGGGGACGCTGTCACAAAATTACAGAGGTTTGTATGGATCTTTAACCATGTTTCAAGAGTCATCACATGATCCCTGTTCAACCTTAAAGCACCAAACTTGGTCAAATGACCAATCTCAACATGACCTTTTATATGATGGCGTCAGTTTATCGATTAGTTTAAATTTGAAGCTCGCCCCATTTCCCTACGCAACTCCGAAATGGCCACAGGTGTTTTGGAAATTTTTTGAACGGTCTAGCTAAAAGCCCACGCCTGCTTCGATGGTCCTGAATATTGAATGAGTGCAGTTTGTACTGCAAAATTGTAAAATACTGCATTCTGTCTGAGGTCTGTATGATAAAAACCGTGCCTCATAGTACTGTTTCGCCTCAGATGTGATATATAAATGGTATGAAAGGTTGGTTTACAAGCACTCAGATTTGTTGACAAGATTTTGTAAAGTAAAGTTGTCGAACGCAAAAAATTCGGCCTGATTTTTTCCCAGGCCTAATTAATCTACGGTGATCAAAAGCCATTATGGCTGTTAAATGTGATCGAAGATTATTGCTATTTTTTGGGTGAACATATGAGGCTATCAACTCGAGGTAAGATTTAGTTCACTCTTGGGCTGTTTGCAAATTGTTTTTACCTAAAATCACTTAGCCTTTCCCTGAAAAGTCACATGAATGTGCTCTAAAGTTAACTGAATTGTGGAATACAAGTTTATTGTTTTATTTAAATTATAAATTTATTAATAGGAGCTTCGCTTTTAGCCATGGCTAAATCTATATATTAACATTGCTCAGACACTCTTTTGCTTGAAACATTTCTTAATGGTCCTTAATGAACTTATCAAATAACCCTATTGTTATCATTCATTCAACTTATTTCTAAGTTTCTGACCGGCTTTTTACAACCGAATTATCTTTCGCTACCTGCTAAGGCTGACCAATTGATTTTGCAAAGATAAAAGGCAGGAGAGAATAATGGAACAGAGATTGAAACACCCAGTCTAACCCTTGGGCCGGATATGTGAATTTCACCAAAGTTATTTTTAGACCAATTAAACGCTTGGAATTATTCGGAAAGTTTTCGGAGAGGTTGGCAAACTTTTATTCCGTCTTGCATAGATAGATTTCAACAGTCGCCATTACAATATTCTGCATTGTTTGCTTTGAGGCAGTCGCACTTGGACTTCATGATGTCTTAAACAATCGACTGAAGTATGTGGACGTCCCAGGAAGACTTCCATTTGGATACCACCTTCAAAAATAACTTATGTGAAAGTCCCATAATTTTTCCTTGGTAAAGGTAAACCTATCAATGAGACACCTAGAGCTAGTCCCTGCCTTTTTCACTCTTGTTTTAGCTGATTATCTATATTAAAAAAGGGAATCTCTCTATAACAGACACATTGTGTTAGTCCCAGCGGTTTAATCAGCTAAGAGACAGCTGACTGTGATTACTCAAAAGTTAAGACAAATTTAACCATGCATATGGTTCGCGTTCCTCTAGAATACATGGAGCGCTGTCACTACTAAGGTTCCCAGGCTTTTTTCTTTTAGGCAAACAATCCATCTCCTTTACTGCATTTGGAAAGACCTTCCAACTCATTTTAATTTACAACTCAAGTGTGTCTGCATTTCCGAAGAAAATTATTCGTTATCTACGATCAGAACAACAAATGAAATAAATTTTCCTTATGCTGATGACGCGTCATATTACATGTAAATGAGGTCTTCCTTCTTTTCCTTCTTTACTTTTTTCCTTTTTGTATTTCTTTTGACCATTTACCGTGCTATCTAGAACCTAAATTGTTGAGGGAGCTAAGAAGAGCCGGAATTAACTGGTTCATTTAGCTTCCTAGCTTACACATTATTTTTAATACAAAAAATGCACATCGGCAAGAGTATAATAAAGATTATTCTATTATTCTATTTGAACTTCAGTTGTTGAAGCGGCCTTCAAGCTTCTTCTCACATCTTTGTCTTCTTTGATCACTCTGATTTCTATTTCTTCTTCTGTCGCATTCATTTCTACACTTCCATGGTCTCCAGCGTTACCTGAAACAAGAAAATGCATATAAGGGCTGGAAGCGGGAATGGGGCTTACGTGACGAACAGTCACCCCATGTAAGGAAATCCAAGACAGTCTTGGATTCTGGATTGCACTTCGTGGATTCCGGATTGATTCTACTATTTGTCCGTGAAACTTATATATTCTTGATTCCAATCTTAAATAGGATTTCGGATTCCTTGAGTGGTATTCCGTATTCCAAAGCCCAGTATTCCGGATCCCACAAGAAAATTGTTCGCTGTTTTCGGATTCCAAAATTAAGCGGGCAAAAACTTCCCGGATTCCGGAATTCGGATGAGGCGAGAACAGCTTATTAGCTTTCTGCGAATCGGTGTTGTTTACCTGAGACGAGAAAAATTGTGATGTTGAACCGAAATTGAAAGTAATGAATGAATCCTTTAAACCACACCTTTCTCTTACCTTCTTTTTCTCTAGGAAGATTCCTGGTCTTCCTCAAATCCCAAACGCAGCCTGCCACAAACATCAACACAAGAAGAGCAGTAGAAACATACATGATGATGCTAGGTACGTCTCGATGGTCTAAGCCTTTTCTTGAACCGTATTCGGTCATATCAATTGTGGAGTTCTTCTCGCATTCTGGAGCATCTTCAAAGGATTCATTTACATGGTGATGCTCTTCCACCATATCCTTAACACACGATCTCACACCGCGAGGAGCACCTTTGAGGAATATTCCAACGTAGTGATTTCTCAACGCCCGTACAAACTGAAACTTTTCGTTTGTGCCTTCATCAAATTCTTCACAATCATGAAGAACTATTCTCTCTATTCCATGAGTTCCTTTTTCCAAGTCTCTAGTCAAACTTCCGGTGAAATTTATCTCTGAAAAGCATTACACACAAGTGCATGTGTCAAGCATGAACTGCTACATTAAACAACATGACTGTATGGACTACAAAATCTGCTTCATTAGGCCAGGCAAGGTCTATGAAAAGGTAGTGCGAAGGTTTGCAGATAAAGAGGGTAACAGAAGCGAGAATGTCTAGAGAGTAGTGCATCCAAGGAAAATCTTACCCAAAATTTTTCAGGGTTTCTCAGGTACACGGCATACAGGGGTTCGTAGATTGGGAATACGGTATCTTCCTGAATATTCACATAAAAACAGAATGATGCTTCCGGGTCATGATAATGCATACTACGTTTTGTTGAGGTCTGGATATATTGAGACAAGTATCGAGGGAAATTTGATGGAATTAAAGGTGTATATGCTAACTGAATGAACTGGTGTAAAGGAATATTACTACCACCTGGTCATCACAAATCATCTCCAGATTACAGTACCTATTATCTTTGCTCCTCTGAGCTCTTCTTCAAAGTAACGCTTGCTATGAAAAGGGACTCCAACCTAATATTGAGATATAACTACGATTATAAGCATGATTTAGAGTATATTTGTTTAGCAATAGATTTACTCAAAAACGTTTAACTTTCAAATTTTAGTCTGTGACACAGCACATGCATACCATGAATAGCAATTTTAAAATTCTCTGGGCAAAAAAGATCCAATTTGGCTTCCAAACAGGGCAAAATAATTGAGGGATGACCGGTGTTTGTACAAGCCCTCTTAAATTCTCTCTATCACAAGAGAGAACTCTCTAGTACCAGAGGGTTCTGCATGGTAATAGAGGCTCTTAACCAACTAAAGAAGAACACAATAGACCTTTCTCACGCGACGGACATTTTGTCTAAGGAGATTTTAAAAGCTTTGTTTATGCACGGCTAGCTTCGTGACAAAGGTCTATACAGGTTTGTCTCTAGAGCGATTGCAAATATGGTGACGATTTCACCAAAGCAAGGCTTTTCGGTAGCAACCGTTGCTAGGGGCTGGTCGCTTGTTTATATGCTAATGCGAGTCCGTTATCTTATTGTTTTTTCACTCTGGAAACAATAAAAAACTTTCAAGAAGGTACCGTCAGTTCGTTGTGTTGAAATAAAGGTCATTGCTTTTTACTTTGCCTATACAGTCGACTCCCGATAACTCGAACCTTCAAGGCAAATCGAAAAAAGTTCGAGCTATCGGAAGCTCGAAGAAAATAGCCGGGAGTAAGGAAAAACAGTTTTTACTGCAGAGTGAACATTTTAATGACAGTTAATTGTAGAAAAGTTAAGTGAAAATTGAAAGATACTTCTAGATTATAAATCAGAACGCAACCGAACAAAATGTTGTCTAAATAGAAGAGAGCATGCGTTTTCCTGTTTTGAGAAGTAAAGCTGTTTCACGTCAGATTTGTGACAAACAACATCAGCCTCCACTAGTAAACTATATGCCTACAACACGTCAATGGGAAGAATTCAAAATTCAACGTTTCAGACGCCAGTAGACTGTTTTTTTCCCGACTTTTTAAGGGCTCAAAACACGGTTCGAGTTATCGAGGGTAAAATAAAATAGAAATGGAATGGCTTGGTGACCTCTCACGTGGTGATTTTCGCTTAGGGGATGCTACCGACCATGAAACTTGAGGATTGGGGAAATAGCATCATCCTTTAAATATCGACGACCAGTTAAGGTTACACGAAAATCAGTTATATTGAAATGCAAGGACCAGATTTCCGTTCGTTCAGTTATCCGAAATGCTGGGAATGCGTCTCGTCGAATTTTCACAAGCTACTACTGAAGTGTAAGTCGTATCGAGAATATCAGAAATCTGGAACGATAGGTTAAATGAACAAGTTAAGTATTTTGAAAGTAGTACCTTAAGTCTTACAGCATCCAATGGAAGGCAATGATACGTGATCTTTTTCCCACCCAGCCCTATTGCTGGTTTTCAGTGTCACACCATTCAAAATAGATCAAAATAAAAATCAAAACCGTTCAATAGATAAAGTCCAGAATCTGGGAAATGAAAGGAGGTACATATACAAAGAACCTCGCCAAGATTCAGGTCAGAGGAATATTTCGTATACGAGATATCGGAAGAACAGTTTTACCCAAACTTGTAGAGATTTGTACAGAGACGCCATGCTGGTGCTCACCTGGATGAGCTCCAACATGGGGGACGGAAACCAACAGAAACATCTGTTACCGAGTTTTGCTACAAGAGGGTGAATTTATTCTTCGAGAAACTCATTAACATTAAAGTAAAACTTTTTCTAATACGCGAACTGTTTAGATGGCAAAATTTCAAGAAAGGGATCATTTTTTTTAACCTACATGACAGCTCTTATGGCTGTCATGTACGTGCCGCGTCCTGCAAAAGATTAGAAATGGAAGCGTACTCTATCACAAAACAATTAAAGAACCCTTTTGAAGCGAAAATTTGTATGAAAATTAGTTTTCAGCTGCTCTAAAACATCGTGAAAGTAAAATCTCGGTAGGATGGACAGTTGAATTTTAGTGACGTCATGTGAAAACCAACAATACGATAACCACTCTTGCAGCACAAAGGCACGCAACAACTATCCGGCATGTTTCACTATTTATAAATGTACAGCAAAAATGGCATGCAATCCAATTCTAAAAATTGAAGATCAGCTTTTAGAATGATAATATTTAAGCTTACATGTGAACCTTAAATAAAATATGAATGAAAAATATCAGGCAGTCAAAGTTATCGCAATCGCTACAAATGACTCTGTCTGTGATCGCTGTGCGTCAGTTGATCGTTCAATTTAGCATGATAGAAAAACAGTATTCAAAGCGTACATACCAGATAAAAACCTTTTTCAGCGAAGAAAATCGACTTATTTTTGTCGAATTTAAAGGAAAAGACGCCTGACAAGCTGCAGTCTTTCCAGCAATGGCACAGGTAAACACAGACAACCGGCCCCTAGCAATGGTTGCTACCGAAAAGCCTCGCTTTGGTAAAATCGTCGCCATATTTGCAATCGGTCTATTGACCCCCTGGAAAGGGTGCCTTAATATGAGTAAACGGCTAATGTAAGAGATGGCTGCCTAAATTTTACCGTGGTTTGTATGGTGGGGGTATATAACTTGGTACCCCCGATCACACAAACGCCTTCGGAGACATTTGCGACAGTTTGCAGAGCTATTTCTCCGTCCTTTTTATCCAAATCATTCTCAAACTTGGCTATTGTGCTTTTTTAGGATCTTTTTTCTGCAGACTTGAAGATTTTCACAAACGGCTCCATGTCAAAATTTGGAAAACCGCGTTGAAAGGGTCTATTATCGTGCAGGGAAACAGTTTGAGAGCAAAAAAGGTTAACTGTAAACCAGTGGTTTATTGAAGAAATGCTGTTGTTATCGATATTCTCTGTCAGCTATTTTTCTTGTTTGTTTATCTGTCATATTCGCTCTGTTTTTAAACATGTACTAAGAAGCTGTTTATGTGTTTTGGACCCGCCTTTCCACCTTCAATCATTCCTTGTGCCCACAGTAAAATGAAGGGAAGAAGAATTACTTTTTTCCCCAAATACATGTGATGAGGCATCAATTCTTCAGACGTCATTCTAGATGTAACTTCGGCAGTGAACATTGATAGAATTATCATGCCAACAATCATCCAGACAGCGGAATAAATACGAGCCAGTAGAGACTTAGGAGTCTTATCCCCATATCTGAAGACAAAAGGAAAGAATTATTCTACACTACTGAGAACAAACAATGCCATGCCCAGGTTAACCTTTCTCGAGCCCGTAAGCAACTGCCTCCTATACGGGAAAAAATGTATGAAAATTAACTTTGTTTCATTTTCATTTTCTTTTAATATTCTTCTACGGGTATTACCAGATAATGTCACGGTAATTATGCCATTAATTTCTTACAGAAGTTAACAGTAACACAGACGCGACCGTTTGACCCAGTAAGGATTAATGTGGAGTTCTTGAAGAGAATCTTACTGAATATCACCATCATCGTCGTGTCTCTCCGTGTCATAATTTCTAAGGCCGCCATGCTGTCCGTCCTATTCTTTGGCCATATTCTTGCTATGTTCCATTCTTTCTCCACAGTCCTCCTCCAAGTCGTGACTTGATGCTACCTCCCGCTCTTCCACGCGTTCTTCGATCCCAACGCCTACACTCGCCTTGAGCAATGCCGTCATTCTCACCCCACTCCAGAGTAAATGGCCTGGCCTAGCGCCTGGCCTAGCGCCTGGCCTAGCGCGTCGCCGCTCCTCACAACTCATGTTGATACCTGCTTGCTTAGTCACTCTCCTTTTTGTCCTCTTTTGCTGCCATTTGATCTTCGATATATTTCGTTGACAACGTAGGCTCCAAAGCTAACCAAACTCTTCCACATCCTCCATCTGTCCACCGTTGACCACAATCCTCTCCTTGCTTTGCGCGCGCCCACTCCTCAAAGTTTTACCGTTTCACACTGTTTTTCTTCATCATGACTCAATTCACCACCCGCAGGACAGATGCTGTGTTGTTGTTGTTCTTGTTGTTGTCTATAACTGCACGGTCAAAGCCTTGTCTGCTATTAAGGGGGCAATCTGAGTGTTTTTTGTGGGAAATGATGTTGATTTAGGAAGAAAATAAGTCAGGGTAGAAAAGGTATACACATAAACCAATAAGTCCGCTTAATCTAATATTTTCCAAGTTTCCAAAAATTTAAATACCCCTTCCCCCTATGTTTATTTTTATATTAAAAACATTCGAAAAATCATCCGAAATTTCTGCAAAAGTTATTGAACCAAGGCTGACTATTAGTAACTGAGTCATTTTTTGATTGAATGAAATCTTGGTTTGATGTTTAACCAGACTCTTCCCTTAAAATCATTATATTTCTAAGCTATTTCTAGGTATTCCAAAATTGCTCATGATGATCCAAAAGCTTATGGAATCGCATGGAATCTATGACGTGTGCGGGCATTTTTTTCCTTGTCCCTGCTTAGTTTTAGGCTCCTCTCATTCGCATGTTCTAAGTTCTTATTATAAAATCTGTTCTTTTGTGATTCTCTCTGTCGGCAGGCAGTCTGTTCTTTCGAACCCTTCTGCTTACATCTTCCCTAATCAGAACAAGTAACATCCCATGCAGAAAATGCTTTACCGTCTTAGCAACAGATTAACTCCTCTTCAGTTACTACTTAAGAAATAGATTCAATGTTGCCGTGCGTCTGTTCAGTAATAGATCACAGAGGACGTCAAAGTGTGGTAAAAACAAAGATGTGCGCTAATCACACGAAACGCGTAAGAACTGAAAAAAACAATTCTGCAACTCAAGACGTTCGAAGAAGTTCTGCTCACTGGTTTATCCTTATAAAAATATTCAAGCATTTTTAGTTTTATTACATTTTCCGTGACGTCATCCACGTATCTGTACTCTAATAAATCATGAGTTAGATGCCTTCCTTTAATAATTATTTTAACGATGATTTCTTCCTTCAACAAGGACGGAGACGTTTTAGAATTACACATTTTAATCATGATCCTAAGACCATGACCACAAAAGGGATGGCTGCGTGATCCTACTTATTAACGCAGCTGAAACAATTTCACGTTGAAAAGGAGTAAGGGTTTTCCTACTCACATCACGTGACAGTACTCATTCTACTTACCCAACAGTCGTCATTGTAACCAATGCCCACCAGGCTCCTTCACGCACTCCTCTCCAAAAAGACAAGGGAAACTGGCGCTGGTTAATTTTATGATCCTGATTAAAGATAAGATAGAGTGAACAGTAGCAACGACAATTATGTTTTCTTTCAAATATTTTCCCTTTAGCTAAGGTAAGCTAGGATAAAAAGCAATAAGATAGAAGTTTACACTGACGGAAAATTTCTCTCGTTATCAACGGGAAACCAATAGTTTGCGCATAACGAAAAAAAAATATGAGTACCTCTGATGTAATTGCAGTTTTGGCGTCAATTATGGTGAAAAATTTCAAAATTCTTAAAAAAAGAAATTAGTACGAAAAATTGTGATACAAAATGCGCTGCTTTCAGACTTTTTCTAATAAATGGCATCATAACTCTTAGCCAAAGCAATTGCATTTTGCCCATGGGTACAAAAAAATAGCTATGAGAAACCATTTGGTGTATCATCCATCCATCCACTTATTTCCCTCCTCCCCCCCCACTGGCCTTCAAGAAAAGAAGATTAATGGATAGGTAAGCCCTTTTCTTATAAAACACAATTTTCCAGCGTGTAAGTGTCACTAGTTGTTAATTTCTTTCTATCCTAAATTTCAACTTCACCTGCCCAAATTCATTGCGCCTTTTTATTCTTGGTTTGCAGCTATGTGTCAACGTGGCCATGTTGGTGTTCAATACAATAAACAATTTTTGGAAGTATTTACATGAAAATGGTGCAGTTCCCAAAGGGGAGAAACCCTTTCAATCTGTATTACATACAGATCGCCGTTGTGACGTCTGGTGTATATGTTTCCGGTTCAATTTTATCCTTGGTTTAAATTTTATTTTCCTTTGTTTTTGGGTATGGTAATGTATGATAATGAGTTTGAAACAAAAGAAAATAAAATTTAAACCAAGGATAAAACTGAACCACAACATACACCGCAACAAACTTGTCCTAGTCTCTATTTATGTCTTGTTTTCTGTGGCGGGTACCACTTAGTTGAATGTATTATTTATTCTAACTAGTATCCGCTTCATTTCAGCTCAGTCAGTAAGTGTTATTCGGCTATTAACTGAGGAATTGACTGAGACAACTTGAATAAAACGAAGCCATGCTTTCTACTTTTAATCACACAAGGACTCCTGGGAAGACTCCAAAAACTAATTCATGTAACATCTCCCCTTTTACAGTAATAAACGATCTTACTAAAAATCAGCGACTTGAATTTAGAAATTATCTGGCCTAAATTATGCACTTAAATGCCTTTCTGCTATATGTTGACTTGATCCTAGGAAGCAAAACTAAAACTCAACAGAGAACTAAAGTTAATGTCAAAGTTCAGTTTCAGTAAATCGTCTATTAAACGTAGTCTGCGAATCTTGATGGGCGAACGCTGACTCTGCCACTTCTTGTAACGAGAGTCTGAGGTTGCTGCGATTTCCTTTCTTCTTTCGCTGTAGGTTCAGGGTGGACATCTGCTGGCTTTGGCAAAGGTGAGCTTTGCTTGGTTGAGCTGCTATCGGTGATGATGGGCTGCTGATTTCCTTGACTAGGGTCTTGGCGGATGAACTTCCGATTACGTCTGTATAGGTTTCCGTTCTCTGTTTCGATCAGGTACGAACGTGGGCCGACTTTTGCCACACACGAGCCTTTGTCCCATGGAGCTTTGGGGTTTACTGGCTGAAGACGTACTGGTTCTCCAATTTGAAGCTCGGGCAATGGTCTTGCGCTCTTGTCGTAAGCTGCTTTGGTCTGCTGTCTCTTACGTTTAATGTTGTCATGTACACCGTCGACAATTTCGGGTTTGAGTAACGCTTCAGCGGTGGGGATGGTGGTCCGAGTTCTTCTTGACATGAGCTTTTGAGTTGGACTTAAATTGTTAATGTCAGGTGTGTTTCGCCATTCCAACAGGGCCATTTGAAGATCTTTGTTTTCTCGCTTAGCCTTCTTAACCAGATTTTTGGCGATCTTAACGGCTGACTCTGCTTTGCCATTGCTCTGACTGTGGAGTGGCGAACTGGTAGTGTGCTGGAATTCCCATTCTCGTGTGAAAGCGGCGAACTGATCGCTTGAATATTGGGGACCATTGTCTGTAATCATGTCTGCAATACCATGCCGGGCAAAGTGTGACTTTGTTGCCTTGATCACAGACTCTGTAGTTGCATCTTGCAACAAATCTAGTTCAAAGTAATCACTGTAATAGTCAACAGTCACTAGGAAGGTCTCACTTCCATAGGTGAAGAGATCCTGACCAACCTTTGACCATGGGGTATCTGGAATCTTATGTATCATTAACGGTTCCTTCTGTTGTCTGGCTAGAAAGTCATTGCAAACTTCACAGTTTTGAACTTGTTCCTTGATTTGGCCTGCCATACTTGGCCAAAATAACACATCACGTGCTCGACGTACACAGGCATCAGGTCCTAAGTGACTGGAATGGACTCTGGCAATCATCTGAGGTCTCATGGAAATGGGAACAATGACCTTCATTCCTTTGTACAATACTCCGTCTTGCACTGTTAACTCTTCTTTGTAATTCCAATATTCTCGAATGCAAGGTGGAACATATTCTTTGGAGACTGGCCATCCTGTAGTAACAGTGTTCATTAGAGTCTGCAAAGTGGGGTCTGCAAGAGTGCATTGCTTAATCTGCTGATGGGTACCCTCAGATAAGCGCATGTAATCAACTTGATTGATGCTGGCAATTTCTTCAAACAGCTGCTGTTCTTGCTTGAGTTGGAAGATTTGGTACTCTGGTGTCCTCTTACACTGGGTGCGATCAACTTGGAGGTAAGCTCTGCTAAGCATGTCCGCTATGTACATTTGGGAACCAGGAAGATACGTCACATTTAGATTGTACCTTTGCAGACGCAGGAGCATTCTCTGTAGCCTTTTAGGCGCTGAATGAATAGACTTCTGGAAAATGGGCACCAATGGCTTATGGTCTGTTTCTACAATTGTAAGTTCTCTTCCGTGTAGGTACTGATTAAAACGACTGCAAGCAAAAACAATCGCCAAGCATTTCTTCTCTATTTGAGCATACTGGCGTTCAACAGTGCTCAACGACCGTGATGCAAATGCAACCGGTTGTCCTTCTTGGAGCAGGGTTGCTCCCAAACCAGACTCTGAGGCATCACATTGGATAGTGGTTTCACTGGCCACATCATAATACTTCAACAGGGGTGCAGAGCTGATCATGCTTTTGATTGCTTGGAAAGCTTTCTCCTGTGAACTGTCCCAAGTGAACATGACATTCTTCTCAGTTAACTTGCGTAGAGGTTCAGACACTTTTGAGAGCTGTGGCATGAACCTGGACAAATAATTAACACATCCCAGAAGACGTTGGACTGCTCTCTTATCATCTGGTCGAGGCATGCTTGCAATTGCTTCGACTTTCATGGGATCAGGCGTTAGTCCTTCTGACGTGAACAACTGTCCCATGTAAGTTACTTGGTCTAACTTCAACCTCAACTTGTTCTTGTTAAATTTAAGATTAACACTGCGTGGTTTAGCAAGTTCACTAAATTGCGATCGTGATCTGCTAAAGCTTCTTCCATAGATTCTCCACTGCCATAACATAAGATGTCATCTGCAATTACTTCTACTCCATTGAGGCCTGCGAGCGCTTCATTCTGGCGCCGTTGATATTCTTCTGGGGCGCTGCTGATTCCTTGTGGCATGCGAAGGTAGCGATATCTCCCAAAAGGGGTCCAGAATGTTGTAAGGAGTGAACTTTCATTGTCTAGCTTAACTTGATGGAATCCATCTTTGGCATCTAATACTGTAAATACTTTTGCTTTTGACAGCTTTGGTAGCACCTCGTCCACTGTCGGCATCTGATACTTTGGCCTCTTTATGGCTCTATTCAAATCACGCGGATCAATGCACACCCTCAGTTTCCCTGGCTTCTGCACAGCTACAAGACTACTGATCCATTCTGTTGGCTGAGTTTCCTTGACAATGATGCCTTGCTTTTCCATTTCATCAATCTTTTCTTTCAACGTTGATTTGAGTGGTACTGGTACACGTCGAGGAGCATGCTGCACTGGCTTAATGCCTGGATCTACTTCAATGTGATATTCTCCGGGTAGGCAACCAAGTCCGGTGAACACATCTTCATATTCCTTCAAAAGTTCCTCCATAGTGAGGGGTTCATATTGCGTGCTATTTAATGAGTGAACAGACGCTTCTGTTCCTAGGGATATCCAACCTTGGTCAACGCATGTTCTACCATCTATGATTAGCCAAGGTGCATTCTCCAAGATGTCAAATTTTATCTTGCTTTTAGGGCCACTGTTTTGGCTGACTGAAAATGTGTACGAACCAAGTGGATTGACAACACTACCGTCATAAAGCCTTATCTTGCCTCCAGGTGGATCCAACTGAACTTCGCCAAGTTGCAAAATATTCAACAAATCTGCATAGGACATTGCACTGCAAGTTGCTCCAGTATCCAGCTGAGTTGTAACCGTAGGGCTGTACTCAGTGTGAAAGGTGAAGGGTACCATAAAGGAGGATCTGGTTTCATTGGTACTGACAACTCCAACGCGCTCTACCATAAAAATAGAATCATCTGATTCATCACTATCCTCTGCAAATCTCTGATGCGCTCCACTTGTTTGATGAACTTTCTTGTCTGGTTTACTTGGGGGCTGCCTCTTTACATGACACTTCACGGCAAAGTGGCCTTGTTTACCACATTTGTGACAGGTTTTACCAGACGCAGGACATTTGGCTCTATCATATGGATGTTCGGTGCCACAAAACTTGCATAGACCAGATGGTTGTTCTTTTCCGGACTTGTTACGACCTCTCAAGTTTCCATTGCTACTACCACGATTTCCTTTCCTTTTCTCATTTGCTGAATGATGCTTTTCTGCTGCATGAACAGTGTTTGGCGAATCAACAGGGTCTTTAAACTGCTCTTTGTGAATCCTAGATAACTCGCTGGCTCGAAGAGCTTCAATAAACCTGGCTAACCCCGGCACAGGGCGTTCTCGAAGTAGGCGGTCGCGGGTGGAAGAGTCTCGAGTGCCAATGACCAATCTGTCACGAATTAAGCTCTCACAAAGATTCTCAAATTAACATGACTCAGCAAGCTGGCGCAATCTCACTACATACTGATCAATGCTTTAATTTTCAGCTTGATTGGCAAAACCAAATTTTACTCTTTCAAACAACAAATGTTTTTGAGGCATAAAATGGTCGCTTAAGGCAGAAAGAATCTTCTCTGAATCTTTCTTGTCAGATGCAGTTAGAGTAGTAAGGCTATTCATTACTTTCACACAGTCCATTCCCGTAACATTACATAAAGCCCCAGCCTGTACTTCTTTAGGTTTCTTGTTACGTTCAGTGGCAGTGACATAATAACACCAAGCTTATTTAAACATTTTCCAATTTGTTGATACATAATCCTTTACGTTCATGGGCGCTGGCGGTGGTATTTGATAAAATGGCATGTTGAAGAAAACGAATACTCACAGTTCTGGTGCTTTCTAGTTTCTTTCCGCTAAACAATATGGCGACGTCTCACCACGTGCGCGACTCGCGAACAAGAAAATAATACCACAACAGCAACGACGGCTTCTCTGAAACGTTCCCCTTCTTCTTCTACTGCTTTAGAATTCTTGTAACTACGATTTTAACTTCTGACACCATGTTATTCGGCTATTAACTGAGGAATTGACTGAGACAACTTGAATAAAACAAAGCCATGCTTTCTACTTTTAATCACACAAGGACTCCTTGGAAGACTCCAAAAGCTACTTCATGTAACAGTAAGCAGTCTTAGACAGTAGTTAGTTCTACGTGGCACTTACTCTGTTTACTGCGCGCCACATAATTACAGCAACAACATGAAAGATAAGAAACCAAGATATTTACTTACAAGTAGCCATATAATAACTCCTGATATCAGCGTCCACGTGACACACAAGAACAGTGTTATCCACATTCGGCTAAAGGAGGCATAGACCACTGTAAACATGCTGAAACATTGCTTCTTCTCTACCAAATACGCCAGCGGAGACTTATAACTAAACACAGTCTTGCTTTTATTGTTAGTGTAGTAGGGGTATGTATACGAAATGTTAACGGAACCCCTTCCGACAGTAGAATTTTCTAAGCACTTTTGTGAAACCATTTTCAGGAAAAATAACCAAGTTTCTTTTTTCCATGCCCCTTCAACCAGATCGTACTTCTTTTCAAACTTCACTCTTCCCCATGTTACGTTTATGAAGCGGCATTTTGAACTGGTATTTCTTCGTGCTGTAAAGTCGTTATCTGTAACGTTTTTGCAACATTCAGATTTTATAGTAGTTACATTTATCTGAGATCTGTTACTTTCGTAAGAATCAATTATCAGCTTCCTGCAGGAAAAGTTGTAAAACTGCATTGGCAAAACGTATTCTTCAGCCTCATTACAGCATTGTTGAAAAGCTTCAGTTAGGTTGATGCTGGCGTTGGTTGGATTGCACAATTCCTTACAGCCAATGGCTCGTTTGGTAACATCTCTGCCATCACCTGAGACCAATATTATAATGAACACTAGAGCAGTTGTTCTTTTCATTGTATCCCCAGGCAAAAAAAGACTTATCGCTACAGCGCACTTGCCTTGGTGTTCTTGAAGACGCCGTTTGTATATCCAGCAGATGGTAAGAAGGTTTTCGCAAACAACACTAATGATAATTACCATACGCTCTCCCCAGAGCGTAGCAGTTAGATGTTGCAATTAAGAACGCAATATTTGTCAAGTTCTCGTCGACTGAATAAGTTCTTCTGGCGTCAAAATTTAATAGAAAGACAATTGACCATAGCTCTAATTGTGGAAATGTTTGCAGATATATATGTACAATACAATACAATAACGTTATTTAAAGAGGGAAGCGTAATAACCTGTTACAGTTTTCTAACCTACGGCCCTCAAAAAAATAGATAAATAGATAAATAAATTTAGAAGACTAAAAACAAATAAATTTATAAATGTATATATATACACAAAAGAGACAATATTTAAAGTAGAATAGGCTATAAGCACGTAATGAATAATATATAAATCGACGAAGGGGGGCAAAATATAAAATGTACTATAAATGAACATGTATACATATATACATAAATATAAATTAAAAGACGTAATAGTGGTTGTAGTAGGACTATGAAAAAAAGTGACAATGAATAGAATAGCGGCAAGTCGAGCACAGTAGATCCTCCAAGTGCTCGGCCGATGATAGGCGTGAGAAAAACAGACTTCGTAATTTAGACTTAAGAGAGGAGGGAAGAAATTTAAATATCAGTGGAGAAGAAGAAATAGAAAACTCTTTTAAGTCGGAACTGAGGTCATTAAAAAGTTTAGTAGCAGTATAGGCCAAGGTGCGTTTCCCAGAGTTGCTACGTGGGCATGGCACCTTTAAGTCGTAGAGAGTATCGTAGAGAATATGTGCCATATTATTTCACCTGTTTTAACAAATTAAAGTAAACAGAATTACATGTTTTGGTCAGAAGAAAAATACGGTCGAAATCTACTTTACAAACTCTTCATTACTACGCTGGCACAGCTTCCTTGGTACCCAGGGAAAGCTAGATCTTATAATACCCAAAATTAATATTGTCTCTGAAATCAACCTCATTGATACAGACACCCGTCCGATGCGAACAGTGGACGTCGATCAATAACCTCACTCATGATGCACACACTATTTTATCCACTGTGTGCTGCAAATGAGCCTTACTTATTGCATCAATTCATCTCACGGAATAAGAAACTCAATCATAATAATAAAATGGCTATGTGGAATCTAACACAGCAGAAGTTTGACTTAAGATTTGAATATTCAATAAAAAATGTCAGTATAAACTTTTACTAAATGTCTGTTGCCTACTCAGTACCAAGATGAGGGCAATAAAACAGCTACACTGACGTTAACCCGTTAGAAGAAAAATGAGGATAGGGGGAGGAGGAGGTTCGTCAAGAACAAGACATCCATAACCTATAGCTGTATACTTAGACTCGATTCGATGCCCTAACAACCCCTTTTTGCATACGGGTTATAACAATCAATCGCATTTCGTAATTGCTGTCACTATTTGCAATACATTAATCGCACTTAGATACACCAGGGCAATTTGTAATAAAAGTGTCTTTTTAAAGCTAAGCAACATAATATAAAAAACACAACAGTAAAGTGGCGGTATATTTTCTGGCTATCATTTATTTCCAGAAACAGCCTTCGGCAAATGATAAGAAAAGATTAGGAGGTCAAGATGGCTTATAATGGGTTGCAGTGGAAATGAATTACACTATGGATTTGTTAACTACAAAAAACAGCGGACAGGTTTTTCAAACACTCAAGTTTGCTATCATTGAAAAATGGTGTCCCTCTAGGGAATCATTCCGTCAACAAAAAGTCTTCTATCACTTTCAAAGCGTTTTACTCATTCATGAACGATTTTACTCCTAAAGGAACTTTTTCCGTATTTACAACTGTTTTTTTTTAGTCAGGATGATATGTTATTTTTATCTTGACGTGCATATGGTAGAAACATGAATGTCGTTCAAATCCCTTGGAGAGCAATTTTCAGTACCCTCACAACCCAGAAAAGGTTTTCGCTAGTTCACCCGGAATTGAAGTACCAGAAACGTGAAAATACCGACATGAGCTATTTTTACTAAGTTCAAAGAACCATATTACGTTTCTTGATAGAGCGACAGTCATGAGACAAAAGACAAATGGTATCCATATCTGTTTAAGCGCCTTGAAAACCGGGCTTGCAGTTCCTGATGACGAGATGATTTTCATGGCAAAAACGGGCCTAGGCAGGCCTTTTAATTTTTATTTGGCCATGTAAATATTATCGGAAAAGTTGCATTTATCAGGGTTTTTATGATGATGATCACATGCAAGTATAGCGAGAAATTTTTCTGTTGCCTGTCGACTGAGACGGGCAATCAGAGTTGGGATATTGCAGACAAACTAGTAGTCTACGTTGGAAATTAAGCCCCTTTTTGGACTTCCCTTGGACTTCCCGCATACTAATTTGGATTTCCTGCATACTAATTTAGTGCCTTCCTCCATATATAATGAAGTGGATAGGTTTACTAAAGAGCGTCTCCCTTATTCAATAGAAACAATAGACATGCCCAAACTTCTCCATTAAGTAACTTGAGATCGCTTTTCAGAACGTCTATTAAAAGAGAAATACGAATAAGAGAAGCGATCACTTAGCAACGCGAGAAACAGGCTTAAACTGCGATATATAAACAAAACACATACACAAAGTGGAGTTGAAAAGTCTCTATTTCAATTTAGTTCATGTCTTCTTATTTAGCTCTAAAACTCGGATATATATAAACAAAACACATATACACAAAGTGGAGCTGAAAACTCTCTATTTCAATTTTGTCTGACGTTTTCTCCGTTCTATCTCGAGGAAATGAAAAACTATTGAAGTCTTGTAATTTCACGCGCCGTTAGTCAGATAATTATGCGAGCTCACAAGCCCACCGTTGCATACAAATTAGCTCTAAAGGACAGACCCAAGGGAGCACCTTGACGTATTATTATATAAACAATTTGAAATCACTTAACAAGGATCAATTAAAACACGCGACTAATAATTGCTAGCAATAAAACCACGAGAGAGATACCGTTTTAAAAACTTTATTGAAAACAATGACATTGAAGAAAGGATCACTCTCGCGCAACCTTTATAGGTCAAACACCTTCGCGTCGGGCGAATATCCATTCAATTGCTTCAAATACTGGAAAGAAAATTTCATTGACAATATTGCTGAATAATTTCCATTCTACACTGCAACATGTATGATCTCGCACGATATAAACTAAATGAGCAACGACCACTGAGACAACATTTATTATTTTAGTAAAAGAACGAACAGCGCAAAATTTGTACAAAATTAAATACCGAACACCTTTGCAAACCCCTGGCGACGCTCGTAAGACAAAGCCTGCGTCGCAGACGTAATCAAACCCCAATTAGCAACGTCTGCGAAGCAGAGCCGAGATCATTGTTCCGAGCCGCCTAAGGACTCAACAAAAACACCGGAAATGCGTTTCGAATTTCATTTAAGCCTGGATCTGGTTGGCAAAATGAGAACAGCTATTTAACAGGCCAATTATGGTACGTATTCAATCTTGGTACACAGGTGGGCCGGGCCCAGAGCAAGACTGTCAGCGGTGTTTCACAGACGGACTTAACCAGAGTTAAGTTTTTTCTGTAGCGCATGCCCTGGCTGGTAGGACAGCATTCTTTGAAAAGCGGGGACGTGCGGTTAGGAATGCACCAGTTGATCGTTGTGAAGTTAAAAAAAATGAATCAGTAGTTTTTGCAGCAATCTTTGTGACTTGCCGGGTGTTGGGAAAGGGATCACCAAATACATGGGCTCCACTCCACTGACAGAATCAGTGGGTGAAGTCAAAGGGTGTGTGCAGGGAATTGTTGAAAGCAAAAATAAACGAAAAATATGTGCCGATTATTGTTAATCAAAGTAACCGAGGGACTGATAAACTGCAAGGCAGTTAAGCCCACAGTAACCAAGCGAAAAAATAAAATAAAAGGCGTTGGGGGTTAAGGTACAACAATAGTGAGGGACCCATTAACTGCCATGCAGATGACGTCCACTACAGTATTAACAATGGGTTGCCCTTCGTCCATGTATATTGGTATTGTGTAAATAAAAATCATAAGGAGAGTAATAAGGAGTGTAGAGTTAGTAATGGTTAGTTGTTAGTCGTTCTTTTTGTCCATCAAGGTAGAGCCATTCATCATTGTGTAAGTCAAAATAAAACCAAATGTGTGGCGGATTTGTTGTCCACTTTGTTGCTTAGAAAGTCCAGTTGTCGAGCGCGTTTTTCGGTTTTTTTTCTCTGAGGTCCAGTGTTGTGACGTTAAGATCCAGTGTGAAATGAGGTTGGGTGAGCAGCCATTGCCAACTAAAAATAAATATAGTTTGGAGGTGTCTTTGTCGCTGATAGGTTTCTTCCAGAAAATTAACTCAAAATCTTCTGGCCAAACAGAAAAGGGATAAAATGCGTCGCCGTCGATTGAATTAAAAAGATTGATGTGCGGGAGAGATTACGGACGTGGTGATAAAAGTGAAGTGAAGAGTGGTTGTCCATTGTACTAGGCAGTCTGTTAAGATAACTTTACATGAGGGGGTGAAGTAGAAGGTGGAGATAAGGGCATCAAGAAGTTAAGTCGTAAGTCAGTCTTAATTAGCATCATAAGTTTGATAGAAATTGTCCTATTGTTATTTAGGGAAAAAGGAAAACGGAAGAAGAACAAAGAGAGTGTGAAGGAGAATGGAAATGCCCGGATTTGGTAAAAAAGGATGCATCGACACCAAGGCTCTTGTAATGTTGTGAATAATCAGGGGTAAAGTACAACTGAGCGAGGATGTTTCTAGCCCGGCGCCGACCCTTTACCCGGCATCCTCTATCTCCTCCCACATTGGCACTTCATATAGTTTCAATGTGGTGGCTATCAAGTACAACTTTTCATTTGCATCTTCTCTTAGTCTTTTTTCTATTTCTTTCATTTTTACTAATAATCTCTTTACTTGTATATACTAATTATTAATAGTTGATGCCTTTACAATATACCTTATTAGGGTTTTGTTACTATTACCCCCCCCCCCCACGCCCCCTCCAAGTTTTTCCTCTCTCCCTTTTTTTGCAGGACTTGACACTGTATATTTGTGTTAGACATAACTGCATTAGAAAATAACAATTACACTTCATCCATTAATATACTACCTCAATACCTTCAATACCTCCTCCAATTCAAAGCTGTAATGGACATAGCTGCGCCATAGCAGTTTGTGGGTCCCTCACTATTGTTCTCAGTGCCCTAGCCCACTTATGTTTTTCATTTTGTTTTTTGTGCTATGTTACCGTGGGATTAGCTGCATTGCAGTTTAATAGTCCCTCAGTTACTTTGCTTAACATTATCCTCACCTATTTTATGTTCAATTTTTACTTACAAAATCCCCCGCACACACCATCTACTCCTTCACCCACTGATTCTATCAGTTGGGGGGGTACGTATTTGGTGATCCCTTTCCGAACACCCGGCAAGCCACAAAGGTTGCTAGGGAAACTTCTGTCTTTTTTTGTTTTTTTTTACAAAGGTAAGACAGCATTCTTTGAAAAGCGGGGAAGTGCGGCTAGGAATACACCAGTTGATCGAGGGACGATTACAGCTAACCCGGGGCTAAATTTTAATTCCAGATTCTTTTTCTTTTATTCGAAAGCATTTTCTCAGATAATTTTTTCTATTATTTTTAGGCATCCAATCATCAGATAGCAGACAGACAGAATTGAACTGAATTTCCGTTTCAAGCTTTTATATCTGAATCCAGCAGCCCCGGGATTAAACCCTTTTCAATAAAAGTTGTTAACTGAATTACGTCGTTTTTCAGCAAGACCAATAAGGTGCATGCTCAAAGTCAGAACCGTAAAAATAAGTTCAATCTTCTCATCAACAGAATTTCTTCGGGAAGACGTTGGGTTTCCATACAATGATAATTTAACCTGATAGCAGCTGCCAAAAGCTGAATACCCAATGTAATTAGAAAACTCATATTGGCACCACTTCCTTCCCACGGGTTAACCAGGTGTTATCAGCGTTTCTGCAGCAAATAAGCAATTTTGGCTTGTTAATGTCAATGCTGTAGACGTTTCCACCAAACGGATGCAAATAAAGTAAATGACTTGACGTAATTTCACTTTACCCATGTAGATGACTATGGATTAATAGAGACCAATTTAAAACATACACTGGTTGTTAGGAACAAACTTCAATTTATTCCTTCTCTGACTACGAGAAACCACCTTGAGACTCATCAATCTTGTACTCAGGATCCCCTTTTGGCTAGCTACTAGTATATAGACCAAATTTATCCTTAGAGCGAATTATTTGGAAGTGAAGAAACATTACTTAGGAAAGTAAACTGCTCTATGCTATCTTGTTAAATATGGACGCAAAATTTTTAACTTTTACAAAGTTAATATCAAGAATTACAAGTCATAAGAAAACGATGTGGTTAAATAACGAAAATGTACAAAACATTCAGAAAATTATATTCGCGCTTTAAAACTAAGAAAACAGCGGACATTTCGCGAAGCCATGACTAGTTAATTCCCCGCGAAATGACGTCTGAGGATCGAATGCAGAAATTTCATACTAATGATCGGTCACTGTTTCTGATTGGTCGTTCCTCGAGAGAAATTTGCATCAACCAAGTAGAAGTACCCAGTAGATCTGGGTAGTGACAAGTCATCAGTATGGAATTTCTGCAGTTGTTTCGCTGGAAACCGGTTGTGGCGTCGAGAAATTTCGAAGGTGTTTTCTCAGGCTATAATAACGCCTCTTTTTAATAAAGTTTCTGCTTCCTAAGTTTTTTTTTTTTCGAAACAGTACAATCATACGTTTATCATCCCTCCACTTTTGCCTATTTTTATGCTAATACGTTAGGGATGTGACACGGATCAGCTGCTGCTACGACTAGTTATAAAATTGTTTAGAAGCTCTTGCTAAAAACATTTCTTAAAGGACTCTAAATTATAAAAAAAAACCTTTCAAATAACCCTATTATTTTCATTCATTCAACTCTTTCAGTTTCTGACTGGCTTTTCCCCGACTTATTCTTCGTAACCTGGAAGGGCTGACCAAATTTGGGGGATATTGCAATTGTTCCGCCATTGACGTCCGATACGGGCGTCAATGATGGAGTAATGGCCAAATTATCCACGATTTGACGTCACGTTAGACAGCGGCCCTTCCGCTTAGCTGAGAATGGAAAAAGAGTTCATACGTACGTGAAGACAAAACCGTCGAATTGCTGACTAAAAAAAGATAGCAACAATGAGCAACAATACCACTCCACGGAATTCAACTGCTTTTTGAACTGCCAACCGGCACCGAACTAGCAATGTTTTAGGGAATGTATCGGTGGAGGTAAAAAATAAGGTTTTGACCAAACTCATCATTGTCTAAGCAAAGAATCTTATGAGCATTTCCAATCGGCGAAGTATTGTCTTACGAAAAGGCAAGCTCTTAACTCTCTCTCCGCTCTCTTAACGGACACCTCTACAAGACAGACATCTCTTTAAAACAGTCACCTAGAGTTAGTCCCTGGCTTTCTTCACTCCTTTTAGTTGACTCTCTATAAGATTATCGTTAAATTAATGAATATCTTTCTAAGATTAACATATAGTGCGAGTCCCAGCAGTTTATCCTCCTAAGGGACGGACCATAAGAAAACTTATAGAGGGGAGGGGCGGGCGAAGTACAAAAAAGTATATCGAGTTAGGGAAATTTAAACGAAAAAAGTAAAAAAAAACACGCCAAAAAACCCTAAAAAATACTTGTATGCATTTTTTATGCCTTTCAAAAATTCATACAAGGGAAATGTTAAAGAAAATAATTCATGTGGTTCAAAAATTCCCCACCCCCCCCCCCCTCCCCCCACCATAACATTTAAAATGGTCCGTTCCTAGGAGAGAAAAACCAATTTCAACATGTAATGGTTCGAGGTCCAGATTATGGCTCTGCCACTAAGTTGTTGAAACTTGTTGTTGTGGCTTTCAAGCTTCTTCTCTCATCTTTGTCTTCGTTAATCACTCGGATTTCTATTTGTTCTTCTCTCGCATTCATTTCTACGCCCCCATGGTCTCCAAAGTTGCCTAGTAAAACGAAAAAATGCATGAGTGTTGGAAGCTAGAAAAGGGCTTACGTGACTAACTGTCGAACAGCTCATTACCATTTGCCTATTCTACGTATCTTATTGTTTACCCCAAGGGGGGGGGGACTCCGCATATGAAAGGGATGGGGATGCTCGTCGGAAATTTTGAATTAAGCCGCTAAAGGAGACCGATCTGGGCGTGGAACAAGCTTTTTTTGACCCCTAAAAGAGACCATGTTAAAAAACAGACAATATATAGATATTTTTTTATTTTTTTTGGCGTGCAACCCTAAACGAGACCTTCACGGCTAAATATGATGGCGTTTTGCCCAGAACACCCTAAATGAGACCAAAATCCGAAATTTACACCCCTAAGCGAGACGACGAGCATCCCCACCACTTTCATATGCGGAGTCCCCCCCCTCTCCCCCGGTTGTTTACCTCAGACGAGAATAATTGTGATCTTGAATCAAAATCTTTTTCTTACCTTCGTCTCTTCTAGGAAGATTCCTGGTCTTCATGAAATCCCATGCACTGCCTGCCACAAATATCAACACAACAATACCAAAAGAAACGTACATGATAATGCTGATTGTGTCTCGATAGTCAAAGCCTTTTCTTGAACCATATTCGGTTATCTCAATTTTGGAGTTGTCCTTGCAGTCTGGAGCTTCTTCATCATTGGATTCATTTCCGCTGTGATGTTCTTTCACCATTTCCTTGACACATTCCACCAAGGAAGAACCACCCTTTCTTGGCTTAGTAAATATTCGAATTCCAACGTAGTGCTTCTTCAATGCCCGTACAAACTGGAGCTTTTCGAATGTGTTGGCATCAAGTTCTTCACAGGCGTGAAAAACTATTCTCTCTATTCGACGAGTTCCTTCTAGCAGGTGCTTGGTCAAACTTCCGTTGGACTTTATCTCTGAAACGAGTTACACATTAGTGCAGATGTTGTTAACTGTAACATTAGGCAACATCAGATAATGACTAGGGACTCACATTAGGTCAAGCTAGGTTCCAAGAAAAGGCGGCGTGACTCAGTTTACCGATAAAGCGGGTAGCAGAAAAGAGTATCTCTAGTCGTGTTTTACGGACTTTTACAGGGTCTGTCATGATTTCTTGGTACACGTCATGCAGGGGTTCTTTTGGAACTTTTACATAAATCAAAACAATCGTTTCCGGGCCATGATACGACATACTAAGTTTCCGTAAGGTCTGCATGGATACATTGAGGGAAGAAGGAATTTAAGGTGTATTGGCAAACTGAATTTAGGTAATGGAATATTACTACCACCAGGTCATCACAAAATTAATCATCTCTAGATTGCAGTACCTATTATCTTTGCTCCTCTAAGTTCTTCTCCAAAGTGACGCTTGCCAGAAAAGGGAACTGCAACCTAGTATTGAGGTATAGTTATGATTTTACATTTAGGATATATTTGTTGAGCAATAGATTAAGTTTCTGAGAAAACTTTAACGTTCCTCATGATAGCATAAACGCAGCAATTAAATTTTCTGGGTAAATAGATTTCTGCCTAAAATTGAATTGGGCTTCAATCTTAAGACAGGAATTGTGGGATGACCGGCGTTTCTAATACTCAGTATAAGCCCTTCAAAAGTGTCTCTAACATATTTGTGACCAAAAGAGGAAACTTTCTAGCACTGAGGGCTAGGCTCTACATGGAAGCAGTGGCTCTTCAAAGAAAAGACCAAAAAAACCTTGAGGGCTTTTTACAAGTTTTGTTTCTGATCGTTTTGCAAGGATAAAGCTCCCCAAAAGTCTCAAAATTTTGCAGCCGTTTGTATGGTGAGAGGGTAAGATGGGGTTTATTGAAAGGTAATTTTGTTATCGATATTCTCTGTTTTTTATGTTTGTTAAAACTGTTTTGTCATCTTCGATCCGTTCAACTAATGATATGGAAAGCTTCAACAGGCATGCACTTGCACTTGCACTTTTTGAGTGTCAATGTATTTAGCACGAAAGTGCTAATTGGGAACACTATTTTTACGTCTCCTAATGGAGACGGGACCGCCATTTTTACGTGGTCATCCGAGCCACGCGAAGGTCTAGCCGCTTGCAGTGCAAAGGAAGTACCTTCATTTCTCAGTCATTTTAAGACCCTGAGTAATGGTCCGGCCTCGGGAATCGAACCTGCGACCTCCCGCTCTGCAGTCAAACGCTCTACCGACTGAGCTAATCCTGCCACGGTGCGAAAGGAAGACCGCACCTGCTACGGTCATCCCACGGCATAAGAAGCTGTTTAAGCGTTTTGGATCTACCGTTCCACCTTATCATTCCTCGTGTCCACATTTATGTTAGGAGGTAATCTTACCTTTTTCCCCAGAAATGCATTAAGAGGCACCAATTCTTTAGACGTCATTCCAGATGTAACTTCAGCAGTAAACATTGATAGAATTATCATGCCAAAAATCATCCAGAAGGCGGAGTAAATACGAGCCGGTATAGACTTGGGAGTCTTATCTCCATATCTGGAGACAAAGGGAAAGAAATTCGATACTGCCTGTGTACGTAGCAAGTCAACGAATAATTACAATAACCATACCCAGGTACCGGTCTTGAGCTCGTAAGCATTGTTTGCTATACAGGCAAGAAAAGTGTAAAAATTGAAGTTGTTCGACGAAATGCATTTTATTTTCTTTTATATTATTCTTTGACGCATATTATGGGATAATGTCACCTGAACGTTTGCCATTAGTTTTTTACAACAATTACCTGCAACACAGATTGAGGGAATGTGCAGTTTTTGACAGGAATCCATGTTCAAGTCATAATCGTCGTCATCCGGTCATGCCTTTTCGTTTCATTCAGTTAATAAGGCCGCCCTGCTTTCTGTACAAGTCGTCCTTTTTGTGTCGATAATCTTCTCTATACTCTTGGCCATACTCTGGCTTATCCGACCTGCTTTATTCCTGCCGCTCTCCACAGAACAGTCCTCTTCAAAGTCGTCAACGGTCTTCCTTTCGCACTTCTTCTTGCTCTTCAACCCTAACAACTCCACCTTAGAGCTACCGTGCTGTCATTCTCACCCGCCCTTGAAAAGCACCTACAGTAGTGCCCTCTGTAGTCTGTGCAATGGCTGCTTCATCTCTCAGTTTCTTTGTTAGTATTCTCACGTAAATACTTGAATTTGGAATACCATAATGCAACCTCGGTCCTTTCTTTTTCTCTTTCCTTTTCTTGACTATTTCTGACGTTTCATCAACGATCCATGGTCGTTTGCTCTGTCTCCTCGTCTTCCCAAAAATCCTTTTTGCATATCCTCTGTATGCTTCGAGAATGTACCTTCGGTCACATATATACCCTTACAATTGGAATCCGTTCTTCACAGTCAACTTTGAACTCCTAGTGATCTTTCCAATCTGCAGCTTACGTACTTCAAACCTCTCCCCTTTCTCTGGCGTCTTCTCTCCATTCCTGCCAATTTTAAATTTTATCCAGTTTTAACCCCCTCATACCCTCATTATTCTCGTGTCCATTATAGATATTGTCATGCAGCCCTTTACTAGAATATGGCCTTTTTTATTTTCCTCCCTTTTGGAGACCTCCAGATCACCTGGTGAATTTCGATATGCGGAAATAGCGCTCCAGTGATACTTAGACCTTCAATATTACACAAGTCGCGTGGTCTCACACCCTTGTAATGCATGACTCAACACAAAGTCTTCTCATTACCTAGTTCCTGTTTGTGTTATCCTCACTAAGGGTAATTGCTTTTAGGAATCCACTGAGATCATGTCTTCAATGTCGCAGAATGTTAAGTATCCCGCTGAAATGGTTATCCTTTAGTTTGGGTTAAAGCGTAATGTAATTCGTTGGTGTAAATGCTTTTACGAGGGCGGATCAAGAAGTTCTGTCACTTAACTTATATCCCCCATGGTTCACCTGCAATTTCAAGAATTACAGTCACATTCCCTCAAAGTAGCTTCCCTCGACTTCTATCAATCGCTGCATCCTCATCCTTCACTTCTGAAAGCATTCTTGGTACTCTGAAGCAGGTATGGCCCTCATCTCTGCATGCACAGTTAGAGCAAGGTCTTGGATCTTTGAAAAATACTTCCCAGCAAGGGCCGATTTGTCTTTTGGAAAGGGCCAGAAATCGCACGAAGCCAAGTCGGGTGAGTATGGTCGATGTTTCATCAAATGGACACCATTGTCATCAAGGTACGTCTGTGTAATGCGAGCTTTGTGGGGAACTGTGTTGTCGTGATGCAACTGGATTCGAGACCGACGTCGAGTCTGTGCCGTGGACTGAATATGTAGAAGAACTTCTGGTAAAATTGAAGTAGTTGTGTAATATGCGGCAGAGGTTGTAGCTTTGTCGGGCATCATGTCGACAACAACAGGCCCCTGAGTATTGAACAAATTGGTGAACATTCTCTTTCTTGAACGGAAACCTGTTTTTAGGACCTCCGGGCGTGGTTCATCTTCGGCCACCCACACCATGTTAGAATGTTTATCTTTCATAGTGAAGAAGGAAATCCAACATTCGTCACCCGTAACAACATCAGAAAACCTCTTAGGGCCTTCTGGTTCAAATAGTTGCAAGCAAGATTGTCGCCCTTTGTTCCTTCTGTTCTGTTGTTAACTGGCGGTGGATCCATCTTGCGCACCTCTTGGACCAACCAAGCTGCTCGTGGACGATAGCATGTGCCGACTTCCGCAGCTTACACCAAGCTCCAAGGCTAAGAATCTGAGTGTTATAGTTGGGTCTTCCGCTATTAATTCTTCGGCTTTCTCCAAATCAAGACGTTCGCAGAAGTTCTGCTCACTGGTTTATCCTTTTAAAAATATTCAAGCATTTTTAGTTTTATCACATTTTAGTTTCCCGTGACGTCATCCACGTATCTGTACTCTAATAAATCATGAGCAACGACCAATCATAGCGCCAGCGTAGCATTTACGGCATTGTATGAAGTTAGATGCCTTCCCTTAATAATTATTTTAACGATGGTTTCTTCCTTCAACAAGGCTGGAGACTTTTTAAAATTACACATCTTAATCATGATCCTAAGACCATGACCACAAAAGGGATGGTTGCATGATCCTACTTATTAACGCAGCTGAAGCAATTTCATGTTGAAAAGGAGTAAGGGTTTTCCTACTCACATTACGTGACAGTACTCCTTCTACTTACCCAACAGTCGTCATTGTAACCAATGCCCACCAGGCTCCTTCACGAACTCCTCCCCAAAAAGACAAGGGAAATTGGCGCTGGTTAATTTTATGATCCTGATTAAAAATAAGATAGAGAGAACAGTAGCAACGACAACTGTGTTTTCTTTCAAATATTTTCCCTTTAGCTAAGGTAAGCTAGAGAAAAAGCAATAAAATAGAAGTCTACACTGACGGAAAATTTCTCTCATTACTAACCGGAAACCAATAGCTTGCGGATGATGAAAAAAGATATGAGTACCTCTGATGTAATTGCGGTTTTGGCCTCAATTAAAAACAATTCTTAAAAAAAATTCTTAAAAAAGAAATTAGTACGAAAAATTGTGATAAAAAATGTGCTGCTTGCAGACTCTTTCTAATAAATGGCATCAAAAACTCTTAGCCAAAGCAATTGCATTTTGCCCATGGGTACAAAAAAATAGCGATAAAAAACCATTTAGTGTATCATCCATCCATCCATTTATTGCCCCCCAATGGCCTGAACACTTCCACTGAACATCTTCCTGTCAAAAGGGCAACTCTTAACGCAAATTTTAGATTAATGGATAGGTAAGCCCTTTTATTATAAAACACAATTTTCCAGCGTTTACGTGTCACTAGCTGTTAATTTCTTTCTATCCTAAATTTTAACTTCACCTTCCCAAATATTCATTGCGCTTTTTTATTCTTGGTTTGCAGCCATGTGACAAGGTGTTCAATACAATAAACAATTTTTGGAAGTATTTACATGAAAATGGTGTAGTTCCCAGAGGAGAGAAACCTTTCGTTCTTGATCACCTACATCGCCGTTGTGACGTCTGGTGTATACCAGCAACATACTTGTCCTAGTCTCTATTTATTTCTTGTTTTCTGTGGCGGGTACCACTTAGTTGAAAGTACTATTTATTTTAACTAGTATGTGCTTCATTTCAGCTCATTCAGTAAGCAGTCTTAGAGAGTAGTTAGTTCTACATGACACTTACTCTGCTTACTGCGCGCCACATAATTACAACAACAACATGAAAGATAAGAAACCAAGATATTTACTTACAAGTAGCCATATAATAACTCCTGATATCAACGTCCACGTGACACACAAGAACAGTGTTATCCACATTCGGCTAAAGGAGTCATAGACCACTGTAAACATGCTGAAAGATTGCTTTTCCTCTACCAAATATGCCATCGGAGACTTATAACTAAACACAGTCTTGCTTTCATCGTTAGTGTAGTAGGGATATGTATACGAAATGTTAACGGAACCCCTTCGGACAGTAGAATTTTCTAAGCACTTTTGTGAAACCATTTTCAGGAAAAATGACCAAGTTTCTTTTTTCCATGCCCCTTCAACCAGATCGTACTTCTTTTCAAACTTCACTCTTCCCCATGTTACGTTTATGAAGCGGCATTTTGAACTGGTATTTCTTCGTGCTGTAAAGTCGTTATCTGTAACGTTTTTGCAACATTCAGATTTTATAGTAGTTACATTTATCTGAGATCCGTTACTTGCGTAAGAATCAATTATCTGCTTCCTGCAGGAAAAGTTGTAAAACTGCATAGGCAAAACGTATTCTTTAGCCTCATTACGGCATTGTTGAAAAGTTTCAGTTAGGTTGATGCTGGCGTTGGTTGGATTGCACAATTCCTTACAGCCAATGGCTCGTTTGGTAACATTTCTGCCATCACCTGAGACCAATATTATAATGAACACTAGAGTAGTTGTTCTTTTCATTGTATCCCCAGGCAAAAAAAGACTTATCGCTACAGCGCACTTGCCTTGGTGTTCTTGAAGACGCCGTTTGTATATCAAGCAGATGGTAAGAAGGTTTTCGCAAACAACACCAATGATAACAGTATCATACGCTCTCCCCGGAGCGTAGCAGTTAGATGTTGCAATTAAGGACGCAATATTTGTCAAGTTCTCGTAGACCAAATAAGTTCTTCTGGCGTCAAAATTTAATAGAAAGACAATTGACCATAGCTCTAATTGTGGAAATGTTTGCAGATATATATGTGCCAAATTATTTCACCTGTTTTAACAAATTAAAGTAAATAGAATTAAAAGTTTTGGTCAGAAGAAAAATACGGTCGAAACCTATTTTACAAACTCTTCATTACCACGCTGGGACAGCTTCCTTGGTACCCAGGGAAAGCTAGATCTTATAATACCCAAAATTAATATTGTCTCTGAATTCAACCTCATTGATACAGACACCCGTCCGATGCGAACAGTGGACATCGATCAACAACCTCACTCATGATGCGCACACTATTTTATCCACTGTGCGCTGCAAATGAGCCTTACTTATTGCATCAATTCCTCTTACGGAATAAGAAACTCAATCATAATAATAAAATGGCTATGTGGAATCTAACACAGCAGAAGTTTGACTTAAGATTTGAATATTCAATAAAAAATGTCAGTATAAACTTTTACTAATTGTCTGTTGCCTACTGTACCAAGATGAGAGCAATAAAACTGCTACACTGACGTTAACCCGTTAGAAGAAAAATGAGGATAGGGGGAGGAGGAGGTTCGTCAAGAACAAGACATCCATAACCTATAGCTGTATACTTAGACTCGATTCGATGCCCCCGTATGCAAACCCCTTTTTGCATACGGGTTATAACAATCAATCGCATTTCGTAATTGCTGTCACTGTTTGCAATACATTAATCGCACTTAGATACACCGGGGCAATTTGTAATAAAAGTGTCTTTTTAAAGCTAAGCAACACAATTTAAAAAACACAACAGTAAAGTGGCGGTATATTTTCTGGCTATTATTTATTTCCAGAAACAGCCTTCGGCAAATGATAAGAAAAGATTAGGAGGTCAAGATGGCTTATAATGGGTTGCAGTGGAAATGAATTACACTATGGATTTGTTAACTACAAAAAACAGCGGACAGGTTTTTCAAATAGTCAAGTTTGCTATCATTGAAAAATGGTGTCCCTCTAGGAAATCATTCCGTCAACAAAAAGTCTTCTATCACTTTCAAAGCGTCTTCCTCATTCATGAACGATTTTACTCCTAAAGGAACTTTTTCCGTATTTATAACTGTTTTTTTTTTAGTCAGGATGATATGTTATTTTTATCTTGACGTGCATATGGTAGAAACATGAATGTCGTTCAAATCCCTTGGAGAGCAATTTTCAGTACCCTCACAACCCAGAAAAGGTTTTCGCTAGTTCACCCGGAATTGAAGTACCAGAAACGTGAAAACACCGACATGAGCTATTTTTACTAAATTCAAAGAACCATATTACGTTTCTTGATAGAGCGACAGTCATGAGACAAAAGACAAATGGTATCCATATCTGTTTAAGCGCCTTGAAAACCGGGCTGGCAGTTCCTGACGAGATGATTTTCATGGCAAAAACGGGCCTAGGCAGGCCTTTTAATTTTTATTTGGCCATGTAAATATTATCGGAAAAGTTGCATTTATCAGGGTTTTTATGATGATGATCACATGCAAGTATAGCGAGAAATTTTTCTGTTGCCTGTCGACTGAGACGGGCAATCAGAGTTGGGATATTGCAGACAAACTAGTAGTCTACGTTGGAAATTAAGCCCCTTTTTGGACTTCCCTTGGACTTCCCGCATACTAATTTGGATTTCCTGCATACTAATTTAGTGCCTTCCTCCATATATAATGAAGTGGATAGGTTTACTAAAGAGCGTCTCCCTTATTCAATAGAAACAATAGACATGCCCAAACTTCTCCGTTAAGTAACTTGAGATCGCTTTTCAGAACGTCTATTAAAAGAGAAATACGAATAAGAGAAGCGATCACCTAGCAACGCGAGAAACAGGCTTAAACTCAGATATATAAACAAAACACATACACAAAGTGGAGTTGAAAAGTCTCTATTTCAATTTAGTTCATGTCTTCTTATTTAGCTCTAAAACTCGGATATATATAAACAAAACACATATACACAAAGTGGAGCTGAAAACTCTCTATTTCAATTTTGTCTGACGTTTTCTCCGTTCTGTCTCGAGGAAATGAAAAACTATTGAAGTCTTGTAATTTCACGCGCCGTTAGTCAGATAATTATGCGAGTTCACAAGCCCACCGTTGCATACAAATTAGCTCTAAAGGACAGACCCAAGGGAGCACCTTGACGTATTATTATATAAACAATTTGAAATCACTTAACAAGGATCAATTAAAACACGCGACTAATAATTGCTAGCAATAAAACCACGAGAGAGATACAGTTTTAAAAACTTTATTGAAAACAATGACATTGAAGAAAGGATCACTCTCGCGCAACCTTTATAGGTCAAACACCTTCGCGTCGGGCGAATATCCATTCAATTGCTTCAAATACTGGAAAGAAAATTTCATTGACAATATTGCTGAATAATTTCCATTCTACACTGCAACATGTATGATCTCGCACGATATAAACTAAATGAGCAACGACCACTGAGACAACATTTATTATTTCAGTAAAAGAACAAACAGCGCAAAATTTGTACAAAATTAAATACCGAACACCTTTGCAAACCCCTGGCGACGCTCGTAAGACAAAGCCTGCGTCGCAGAGGTAATCAAACCCCAGTTAGCAACGTCTGCGAAGCAGAGCCGAGATCATTGTTCCGAGCCGCCTAAGGACTCAACAAAACACCGGAAATGCGTTTCGAATTTCATTTAAGCCTGGATCTGGTTGGCAAAATGAGAACAGCTATTTAACAGACCGATTATGGTACGTATTCAATCTTGGTACACAGGTGGGCCGGGCCCAGAGCAAGACTGTCAGCGGTGTTTCACACACGGACTTAACCAGAGTTAAGTTTTTTCTGTAGCGCATGCCCAGGCTGGTAGGACAGCATTCTTTGAAAAGCGGGGACGTGCAGTTAGGAATGCACCAGTTGATCGTTGTGAAGTTAAAAAAAATGAATCAGTAGTTTTTGTAGCAATCTTTGTGTCTTGCCGGGTGTTGGGAAAGGGATCACCAAATACATGGGCTCCACTCCACTGACAGAATCAGTGGGTGAAGTCAAAGGGTGTGTGCAGGGAATTGTTGAAAGCAAAAATAAACGAAAAATATGTGCCGATTATTGTTAATCAAAGTAACCGAGGGACTGATAAACTGCAAGGCAGTTAAGCCCACAGTAACCAAGCGAAAAAATAAAATAAAAGGCGTTGGGGGGTTAAGATACAACAATAGTGAGGGACCCATTAACTGCCATGCAGATGACGTCCACTACAGTATTAACAATGGGTTGCCCTCCGTCCATGTATATTGGTATTGTGTAAATAAAAATCATAAGGAGAGTAATAAGGAGTGTAGAGTTAGTAATGGTTAGTTGTTAGTCGTTCTTTTTGTCCATCAAGGTAGAACCATTCATCATTGTGTAAGTCAAAATAAAACCAAATGTGTGGCGGATTTGTTGTCCACTTTGTTGCTTAGAAAGTCCAGTTGTCGAGCGCGTTTTTCGGTTTTTTTTCTCTGAGGTCCAGTGTTGTGACGTTAAGATCCAGTGTGAAATGAGGTTGGGTGAGCAGCCATTGCCAACTAAAAATAAATATAGTTTGGAGGTGTCTTTGTCGCTGATAGGTTTCTTCCAGAAAATTAACTCAAAATCTTCTGGCCAAACAGAAAAAGGATAAAATGCGTCGCCGTTGATTGAATTAAAAAGATTGATGTGCGGGAGAGATTACGGACGTGGTGATAAAAGTGAAGTGAAGAGTGGTTGTCCATTGTACTAGGCAGTCTGTTAAGATAACATTACATGAGGGGGTGAAGTAGAAGGTGGAGATAAGGGCATCAAGAAGTTAAGTCGTAAGTCAGTCTTAATTAGCATCATAAGTTTGATAGAAATTGTCCTATTGTTATTTAGGGAAAAAGGAAAACGGAAGAAGAACAAAGAGAGTGTGAAGGAGAATGGAAATGCCCGGATTTGGTAATAAAGGATGCATCGACACCAAGGCTCTTGTAATGTTGTGAATAATCAGGGGTAAAGTACAACTGAGCGAGGATGTCTCTAGCCAGGCGCCGACCCTTAACCCGGCATCCTCTATCTCCTCCCACATTGGCACTTCATATAGTTTCAATGTGGTGGCTATCAAGTACAACTTTTCATTTGCATCTTCTCTTAGTCTTTTTTCTATTTCTTTCATTTTTACTAATAATCTCTTTACTTGTATATACTAATTATTAATAGTTGATGCCTTTACAATATACCTTATTAGGGTTTCGTTACCGTGGGATTAGCTGCATTGCAGTTTAATAGTCCCTCAGTTACTTTGCTTAACATTATCCTCACCTATTTTATGTTCAATTTTTACTTACAAAATCCCCCGCACACACCATCTACTCCTTCACCCACTGATTCTATCAGTTGGGGTTGGCACGTATTTGGTGATCCCTTTCCGAACACCCGGCAAGCCACAAAGGTTGCTAGGGAAACTTCTGTCTTTTTTTGTTTTTGTTTTTGCTTTTTTTGTTTTTTTTTTTACAAAGGTAAGACAGCATTCTTTGAAAAGCGGGGAAGTGCGGTTAGGAATACACCAGTTGATCGAGGGACGATTACAGCTAACCCGGGGCTAAATTTTAATTCCAGCTTCTTTTTCTTTTATTCGAAAGCATTTTCTCAGATAATTTTTTCTATTATTTTTAGGCATCCAATCATCAGATAGCAGACAGACAGAATTGAACTGAATTTCCGTTTCAAGCTTTTATATCTGAATCCAGCAGCCCCGGGATTAAACCCTTTTCAATAAAAATTGTTAACTGAATTACGTCGTTTTTCAGCAAGACCAATAAGGTGCATGCTCAGAGTCAGAACCGTAAAAATAAGTTCAATCTTCTCATCAACAGAATTTCTTCGGGAAGACGTTGGGTTTCCATACAATGATAATTTAACCTGATAGCAGCTGCCAAAAGCTGAATACCCAATGTAATTAGAAAACTCATATTGGCACCACTTCCTTCCCACGGGTTAACCAGGTGTTATCAGCGTTTCTGCAGCAAATAAGCAATTTTGGCTTGTTAATGTCAATGCTGTAGACGTTTCCACCAAACGGATGCAAATAAAGTAAATGACTTGACGTAATTTCACTTTACCCATGTAGATGACTATGGATTAATAGAGACCAATTTAAAACATACACTGGTTGTTAGGAACAAACTTCAATTTATTTCTTCTCTGACTACGAGAAACCACCTTGAGACTCATCAATCTTGTACTCAGGATCCCCTTTTGGCTAGCTACTAGTATATAGACCAAATTTATCCTTAGAGCGAATTATTTGGGAAGTGAAGAAACATTACTTAGGAAAGTAAACTGCTCTATGCTATCTTGTTAAATATGGACGCAAAATTTTTAACTTTTACAAAGTTAATATCAAGAATTACAAGTCATAAGAAAACGATGTGGTTAAATAACGAAAATGTACAAAACATTCAGAAAATTATATTCGCGCTTTAAAACTAAGAAAACAGCGGACATTTCGCGAAGCCATGACTAGTTAATTCCCCGCGAAATGACGTCTGAGGATCGAATGCAGAAATTTCATACTAATGATCGGTCACTGTTTCTGATTGGTCGTTCCTCGAGAGAAATTTGCATCAACCAAGTAGAAGTACCCAGTAGATCTGGGTAGTGACAAGTCATCAGTATGGAATTTCTGCAGTTGTTTCGCTGGAAACCAGTTGTGGCGTCGAGAAATTTCGAAGGTGTTTTCTCAGGCTATAATAACGCCTCTTTTTAATAAAGTTTCTGCTTCCTAAGTTTTTTTTTTTTTCGAAACAGTACAATCATACGTTTATCATCCCTCCACTTTTGCCTATTTTTATGCTAATACGTTAGGGATGTGACACGGATCAGCTGCTGCTTCGACTAGTTATAAAATTGTTTAGAAGCTCTTGCTAAAAACATTTCTTAAAGGTCTCTAAATTATAAAAAAAAACCTTTCAAATAACCCTATTATTTTCATTCATTCAACTCTTTCAGTTTCTGACTGGCTTTTCCCCGACTTATTCTTCGTAACCTGGAAGGGCTGACCAAATTTGGGGGATATTGCAATTGTTCCGCCATTGACGTCCGATACGGGCGTCAATGATGGAGTAATGGCCAAATTATCCACGATTTGACGTCACGTTAGACAGCGGCCCTTCCGCTTAGCTGAGAATGGAAAAAGAGTTCATACGTACGTGAAGACAAAACCGTCGAATTGCTGACTAAAAAAAGATAGCAACAATACCACTCCACGGAATTCAACTGCTTTTTGAACTGCCAACCCACCGAACTAGCAATGTTTTAGGGAATGTATCGGTGGAGGTAAAAAATAAGGTTTTGACCAAACTCATCATTGTCTAAGCAAAGAATCTTATCGAGCATTTCCAATCGGCGAAGTATTGTCTTACGAAAAGGCACGCTCTTAACTCTCTCCGCTCTCTTAACGGACACCTCTACAAGACAGACATCTCTTTAAAACAGTCACCTAGAGTTAGTCCCTGGCTTTCTTCACTCCTTTTTTAGTTGACTCTCTATACGATTATCGGTAAATTAATGAATATCTTTCTAAGATTAACATATAGTGCGAGTCCCAGCAGTTTATCCTCCTAAGGGACGGACCATAAGAAAACTTATAGAGGAAAGGGGCGGGCGAGGTACAAAATATATATCGAGCTAGGGAAAATTTAAACGAAAATGTAAAAACAAAAACACGCCAAAAACTCCAAAAATACTTATGCATTAGCCTAAAAAAAAACATACAAGGGAAATGTTAAAGAAAAAAATTCATGCGGTTCAAAAATCCCCCCCCACCCCCATACCCCCATAACATTTAAAATGGTCCGTTCGTAAGAGAGAGTTGACTGAACTGAAAAACCAATTTCAACCATTTAATGGTTCGAGGTCCAGATTATGACTCTGCCGCTAAGTTGTTAAAACTTGTTGTGGTGCCCTTCAAGCTTCTTCTCCCATCATCGTCTTCTTTGATGACTCCGATTTCTATTTGTTCTTCTCTCGCATTCATTTCTACGCCCCCATGGTCTCCAAAGTTGCCTAGTAAAGCGAAAAAATGCATGAGCGTTGGAAGCTAGAAAAGGGCTTACGTGACTAACAGTCGAACAGCTCATTACCATTTGCCTATTCTTCGTATCTTATTGTTTACCCCAGGGGGGGATTCCGTATGTGAAAGGGGTGGGGATGCTCGTCCTAAATTTTGAATTAAGCCCCTAAAGGAGACCGATCTGGGCGTGGCCCAAGCTTTTTTTGACCCCTAAAAGAGACCATGTTAAAAAACAGACAAGATATATTTTGTTATATTTTTTGGCGTGCAACCCTAAACGAGACTTTCACGGCTAAATATGATGGCGTTTTGCCCAGAACACCCTAAATGAGACCAAAATCCGAAATTTACACCCCTAAGCGAGACGACGAGCATCCCCACCACTTTCATATGCGGAGTCCCCCCCCCCGGGTGTTTACCTCAGACGAGAATAATTGTGATCTTGAATCAAAATCTTTTTCTTACCTTCGTCTCTTCTGGGAAGATTCCTGGTCTTCATGAAATCCCATGCACTGCCTGCCACAAACATCAACACAACAATACCAATAGAAACGTACATGAAAATGCTGATTATGTCTCGATAGTCAAAGCCTTTTCTTGAACCATATTTGGTTATCTCAATTTTGGAGTTGTCCTTGCAGTCTGGAGCTTCTTCATCATTGGATTCATTTCCGCTGTGATGTTCTTTCACCATTTCCTTGACACATTCCACCAAGGAAGAACCACCCTTTCTTGGCTTAGTAAATATTCGAATTCCAACGTAGTGCTTCTTCAATGCCCGTACAAACTGGAGCTTTTCGAATGTGTTGGCATCAAGTTCTTCACAGGCGTGAAAAACTATTCTCTCTATTTCGTGAGTTCCTGCTAGCAAGTGCTTGGTCAAACTTCCGTTGGACTTTATCTCTGAAACGCGTTACACATTAGTGCAGATGTTGTTAACTGTAACATTAGGAAACATCAGATAATGACTAGGGACTCACATTAGGTCAAGCTAGGTTCCAAGAAAAGGCGGCGTGACTCAGTTTACCGATAAAGCGGGTAGCAGAAAAGAGTCTAGTCGTGTTTTACGGACTTTTACAGGGTCTGTCATGATTTCTTGGTACACTCTCCGTAAGGTCTGGATATATTGAGGGAAGGAGGAATTTAAGGTGTATTGGCAAATTGTAGGTAATGGAATAATACTACCACCTGGTCATCACAAAATTAATCATCTCTAGATTGCAGTACCTATTATCTTTGCTCCTCTAAGTTCTTCTCCAAAGTAACGCTTGCCAGATATGGGAACTGCAACCTAGTATTGAGGTATAGTTATGATTTTACATTTAGGATATATTTGTTGAGCAATAGATTAAGTTTCTGAGAAAACTTTAACGTTTCTCATGATAGCATAAACGCAGCAAATGAATTTTCTGCGTAAATAGATTTCTGCCTAAAATTGAATTGGGCTTCAATCTTAAGTCAGGAATTGTGGGATGACCGGCGTTTCTAATACTCAGGATAAGCCCTTCAAAAGTGTCTCTAACATATTTGTGACCAAAAGAGGAAACTTTCTAGCACTGAGGGCCAGGCTCTACATGGAAGCAGAGGCTCTTCAAGAAAAGACCAAAAAAACCTTGAGGGCTTTTTACAAGTTTTGTTTCTGATCGTTTGGCAAGGATAAAGCTCCCCAAAAGTCTCAAAATTTTGCAGCCGTTTGTATGGTGAGAGGGTAAGATGGGGTTTATTGAAAAGTAATTTTGTTATCGATATTCTCTGTTTTTTATGTTTGTTAAAACTGTTTTGTCATCTTCGATCCGTTCAATTAATTATGATATGGAAAGCTTCAACAGGCATAAGAAGCTGTTTAAACGTTTTGGATCTACCGTTTCACCTTATCATTCCTCGTGTCCACAATTCTGTTAGGAGGGAATCTTACCTTTTTCCCCAGAAATGCATGAAGAGGCACCAATTCTTTAGACGTCATTCCAGATGTAACTTCAGCAGTAAACATTGATAGAATTACCATGCCAAAAATCATCCAGAAGGCGGAGTAAATACGAGCCGGTATAGACTTGGGAGTCTTATCTCCATATCTGGAGACAAAGGGAAACAAAATTCGATACTGCCTGTGTACGTAGCAAGTCAACGAATAATTACAATAACGATACCCAGGTACCGGTCTTGAGCTCGTAAGCATTGTTTGCTATACAGGCAAGAAAAGTGTAAAAATTGAAGTTTTTCGACGAAATGCAGTTTATTTTCTTTTATATTATTCTTTGACGCATATTATGGGATAATGTCACCTGAACGTTTGCCATTAGTTTTTTACAACAGTTACCTGCAACACAGATTGAGGGAATGTGCAGTTCTTGACAGGAATCCATGTTCAAGTCATAATCGTCGTCATCCGGTCATGCCTTTTCGTTTCATTCAGTTAACAAGGCCGCCCTGCTTTCTGTACAAGTCGTCCTTTTTGTGTCGACAATCTTCTTCTATACTCTTGGCCATACTCTGGCTTATCCGACCTGCTTTATTCCTGCCGCTCTCCACAGAACAGTCCTCTTCAAAGTCGTCAACGGTCTTCCTTTCGCACTTCTTCTTGCTCTTCAACCCTAACAACTCCTACTTAGAGCTACTATGCTGTCATTCTCACCCGCCCTTGAAAAGCACCTAGTGCCCTCTGTAGTCTGTGCAATGGCTGCTTCATCTCTCAGTTTCTTTGTTAGTATTCTCACGTAAATCCTAGAATTTGGAATACCATAATGCAAGCTCGGTACTTTCCTTTTCTCTTTCCTTTTCTTGACTATTTCTGACGTTTCATCAACGATCCATGGTCGTTTGCTCTGTCTCCTCGTCTTCCCAAAAATCCTTTTTGCATATCCTCTGTATGCTTCGGGAATGTGCCTTCGGTCACATATATACCCTTACACTTGGAATCAGTTCTTCACAGTCAACTTTGAACTCCTAGTGATCTTTCTAATCTGCAGCTTACGTACTTCAAACCTCTCCCCTTTCTCTGGCGTCTTCTCTCCATTCCTGCCAATTTTAAATTTTATCCAGTTTTAACCCCCTCATACCCTCATTATTCACGCCCTTTACTAGAATATGGCCTTTTTTATTTTCCTCCCTTTTGGAGACCTCCAGATCACCTGGTGAATTTCGATATGCGGAAATAGCGCTCCAGTGATACTTAGACCTTCAATATTACATAAGTCGCGTGGTCTCACACCCTTGTAATGCATGACTCAACACAAAGTCTTCTCTATATCTTGTTCCTTTTTGTGTTATCCTCACTAAGGGTAATTGCTTTTAGGAATCCACTGAGATCATGTCTTCAATGTCGCAGAATGTTAAGTATCCCGCTGAAATGGTTATCCTTTAGTTTGGCTTAAAGTGTAATGTAATTCGTTGGTGTAAATGCGTTTACGAGGGCGGATCAAGAAGTTCTGTCACTTAATTTATATCCCCCATGGTTCACCTGCAATTTCAAGAATTACAGTCACATTCGCTCAAATTAGCTTCCCTCGACTTCTATAAATCGCTGAATCCTCATCCCCCACTTCTGAAAGCATTTTTGGTACTCTGAAGCAGGTATGGCCCTCATCTCTGCATGCACAGCTTGAGCAAGGTCTTGGATCTTTGAAAAATGCTTCCCTGCAAGGGCTGATTTGACTTTTGGAAAGGGCCAGAAATCGCACGAAGCCAAGTCGGGTGAGTATGGTCGATGTTCCATCAAATGGATACCATTGTCATCAAGATACGTCTGTGTAATGCGAGCTTTGTGGGGAACTGTGTTAATAATAATAATAATAATAGTAACAATAATAATAATAATAATATAATTCATTTATATAGCGCTATTAATACTAATTATTCATAGCGCTGTCGTGATGCAACTGGATTCGAGACCGACGTCGAGTCTGTGCCGTGGACTGAATATGTAGAAGAACTTTTGGTAAAACTGAAGTAGTTGTGTAATATGCGGCACTGGTTGTAGCTTTGTCGGGCATCATGTCGACAACAACAGGCCCCTGAGTATTGAAGAAATTGGTGAACATTCTCTTTCTTGAACGGAAACCTGTTTTTAGGACCTCCGGGCGTGGTTCATCTTCGGCCACCCACACCATGTTAGAATGTTTATCTTTCATAGTGAAGAAGGAAATCCAACATTCGTCACCCGTAACAGCATCAGAAAACCTCTTAGGGCCATCTGGTTCAAATAGTTGTAAGCAATTGCGGCAGATTGTCGCCCTTTGTTCCTTCTGTTCTGTCGTTAACTGGTGGGGATCCATCTTGCGCACCTCTTGGACCAACCAAGGTGCTCGTCGACGATAGCATGTGCCGACTCCCGCAGCTTACACCAAGTTCCAAGGCTAAGAAACTGAGCGTTATAGTTGGGTCTTCTGCTATTAATTCTTCGGCTTTCTCCACGGAACTGTCGATCACAGAGGTCCGTGGCCTCTCAGCATCTGGTTCATCTACAACGCTCTCTCAGTAAAATACTGAATCCATCTCGCAACTGTGCGAAAAGAAGATGAAGGTCTCCATAAACCGTCACAAGGTCTTCATAGACAGGCCTTGCTAGCAAACTTACTTTATAACGAGTGTAAATGTAGAAACGAAAATATTCCCTTGAAGGCTACTTGTCGCAACTAAATCAGCATGTAAAAGGACCTGACAAATTCCACACGGGCTTTATATTAGCACTAAATTTCCTTAACGATCAGCTGTTACTGAGTTCTAAAGATTAACATAACAATGAAGAACCATTTTTGCTTGGAGAACTTAGGACTTTTCTTGGTGACAGAACATCCTGATCCGTCCTCGCATGAATTACTAAACGCGACTGGGGCAATTTTATGTTTAAACTGCTGGAACCAAATTAGAGTTTCCTACTCACATCACTTGACAGTACTCCTTCTATTTACCCAACAGTCGTCATTGTCACCAGTGCCCACCAGGCTCCCTCACGAACTCCTTCCCAAAAAGACGAGGGAAACTGGCGCTGGTTCAAACCATGATCCTGATTATAAATTAAATACAGTCAATAATAACAATTTTTTTCCCTCACGCAAAACCTAGACTAAAGAAAAAAGTTTTAGTAGGGTAAACTGATATTTTTATATTGTTGAAGAAAGGAGGCCCAAGCAAACAGAATGAAAAGCGGAAAAACCGTTTGGAATCGTTAAGAAAACACCGGCATCAGCTGGAACATGTTCCTGCTATAAAGGCTACTCAAAATACAGATTTTAGACATTATTTACTACTAGCCTTGGAGGTATGCATGTTTTGCATTAAAATTTGGAAAAATTAGTATAACGTCAAAACAGTGAATGTTGCAACTCGGATTTTTGGTCGGCTCGTAGGCTAAATTCATCTTGAAATTTCAAGGTGTTGCAGTGAATCAATCTCAATGAATTGTTTCAGACATTAATATATACATCATGAAGATTATGTGATAAGGTGTAAGAAGAATTCTGTCGAGCTGTTTTAGAGATATACAGAAAAGCACTAAAAGTCAAAATTTAGAATAAAGTTGCACTTAGACAGGTGGAGAGAAAACAGGTTAGTTTTCAAGATCCCAAGAAAGGAAACAAACCAAAATTTCCATGCATTAAAATATGCCTTCTGACGCTACTTAAGATTAATTTGAGTTATTGAGAACTTTCTTATTAAACATTTTATCATGGCTATTGAAATATAAGGTTTGAAAGATTTTTTCCTTTTTTGACGGAATCCATCAGGAAATTGGATTCCGTGTTATTTGAATTCAGAAATACAGAATTTTTTAATTCTCACCGAGGTTATTCGCTAAACACCGCACTTTAAGTTCCTGGTGTCGGATCTTCAGTAGCAGGTCTAGATCGCGCGAAATTCGGATTTAATCGATTTTAAAGTTTTTTGTTTATTGTTGTCATAGTGTTATCGATTTTACTAAAAACTGCATTTTGACAAGCTTCAATTCATAGTCAATCTCTGGTGAAACTTTTGTGGCGATCGGTCAAGGATAAATCCTTTTAAAGGCGATTCAAAAAACGTCAGTATCGTCTCCCAGAAACTGTATCAAAACACCTTAATTAGGTATTATCTCGCTTTCAGCCCAGCCAGTCAGGCCTGTTTCAAACGTCGTGCTACTGCTGTGCTAAGCTGGCTCGACTGTAGCTCAACTGCAGCACGACACTAGCACGACTTGGTGTCAGACGTCGAATTTAATTGAATTGAATAGAACGGCTGTTACCGAAAACAAAACACAAAAATAAAGAAAAGGTTTAGAAAACTTTTAAATATATTCTAATGTATTATAATTTATGAATTGAGTTCGGCACGGCAGTAGCACGACGTTTGAAATCAAGTCGAGCTACTGCCGTGTAGCACGGCAAGCCTTGCCGCGCTACACGGCAGTGGCAGGACTTGGTTTCAAACGTCGCGCTACTGCCGTGCTAAAGTCGAATTTAATTCGATCAATTTAGTTCGGCATGGCAGTAGCACGACGTTTGAAACGGGCCTCAGTCTCGGAGGATAGTTAGCCCGAACATCGCATTTCCTGCATGCCGCACACTAAATAAAAAACACATTAAATATACGAAACCGAGGTATTTACTCACCATTAGCCACATAAAAACTCCTGATATCAAACTCCAGATGACACATAGGAACACTGTTACCCACATTTGGCTGAAAGAGGAACCGACCACCGGAAACACAGTGAAAGATTGCTTTTGCTTTACCAGGTATGCAGGTGGATAGTCATAGCCAAACACAATCTCGCTTTTATCGTTAGTGTAGTAGGGGTAGGAAATTATAACGGAAGGCGTTCCGTCAGTTAATTTCTTTTTAAAGCACTTTTGTGACGCCATTTTCAGGAAAAATGGGGGAGAAAAAAACATAAAATAGGCAAAAAAGGGCACTAGAATAGAACATGGCTTGAGCTAACTGTTGAAACCTCGATTAGCCAATAGTGCCGCTTTCGGTCAAACTCATGGATCTTGTAATACGTGATGATATATGTTTTTATAAAGCTGCTGCAATTGTTGTTCTTTCTTTTCATGAATTGAAATATATCAAAATTTAATATCTTGACAAGATGAGCGCCATTTGCAGCTAATTAAGTTAAACTGGTGGGAATATTCATAGGTCATTAAAGGACAAAAAGATAAACAGGTAACGTTGAATTGTATCAATTTTCCTTTTAAAACATGGCGCAGAAGGGCGTGCTGAATTTTTCAGCATTAGGTAAAATATTTATAATCGTTTTGCATGCTACAAAATGTTTGCAACTTTAGGGAAACAGTTGGCGCGAGCACATACAGGAACAATGGCAGCACATATTTCTGTCCATCGTTAGGCAAAATTATTCTGCGTTGGCATGAATTCCACCCATTCACCCACTACAACTCATCAAGCGAGGCTCTTGAAGGGAATCTTATACATTACATGACAAAAGCGCTTAATATCTGCAGTCCAAATTTGGAGATCATCCATGAAAAAGTAGATATCAACAGCTCTTGTGAGATGGCGATCCTGATCCGCCACACAGCACCCGACGAACCAAGAGTATATTTTCCGATTTTTGCCAACCGAGGAGATGGGGAACAGTTTGAAAGAAGATTTCTCGGACTGTTTGATCCTCCAGGCCCCGCAGTTTTGGAAGTCAACCATGGAAACGATTCGTCGTCAAATGAAATTCTCTACTTTCTGAAGGACGTGTGGACAATAGTAGTGATCAGTTTTTTACACGCGGTGTTGGCTGGAATGATTATCTGGTACCTGGTATGTACGTCAAGACACTCCTTTAACCAATATTAATAAAAACGTTTTAGGGGAGAGTGGGAAAATACGAAAACTCGAATAACATCATATGATTTTGGGTTTATAAACTGAGGTCCATTGCCTCGGTATAACAAGGCGTGGCTCAGGCTGAATTTCATTTAAGAACACAGACATGATAATCCGGCAGTATCCACTAAAATAGTGTAATTTGAATGCGAGTGATTACGATATGGAAGGCAATTTATTTTTGAGTGAACAATAGGATATTTTATGTACTAGGCCATGTGTGGCTGAATGGATCAGCACTTACATGTCTCTTCTGTTTCTGAAATGACGCATGATCAATTTAAATTATTATTCACTCAAAATATTTCCCAATTCTGATTGGCTAAAAGCACACGCATAATTCACCTTAACCAGTTACTGATGACCAAATTTGGAAGAATTTTGTGTTTAACGAGGAAATGACGTCAAAAATGCAGCCTTCTACAGGTTAATGCACCGTTAAACGAGAAGACCTGGGGACGAGGTTGAGTTGTTTTCGTTGTGAAAACTAAAATGGCAGACACTTCACTCGTTTCAAGAGTAAGAACTACAGCTGGAACTAGGCGAAATAATGGCTAAAAACATAGCGAAAACAGCAAGAAGACAACTCGGAGGTTGACATCCGCTATTTGGAGAATATTTGCGGAGCTGGACAAACCTAAACTTACACTATCGAAGATGAACTTAACATCGATGCAGGTAAGCATGGTTTGGCTATGTTTTTAAACTAGGAATTATTTTGAATGAATAATAAAACAATTAATGAATTCGGGTTTCGTAGGATTTGAAGAATTAAGCAGATCTCGGAGAGTGTTATCCACCTCGGCCTTCGGCCTCTGTGATAACACCCTCCTCGATCTGCTTAATTCTTCATATCCTACTCAGCCTCATTCATTAATTGCTAAATATCTTTTCAAAGTAGTGTAAACTGTTCAATGCTATCCTGTAGAGTATCAAACTTTTGCCTTTTGATATTTACAATAACAAGACATCAATAAAAGATGAGGTAATACCGAAAATGTGCAAAGCATTCAGAGAATTATATTTGCGCTAGCCTAAGAAAATAGCGATCATTTCGCCACGCTTAGACTGGTTTCCCCGCAAAATAACGTTCGATAAACGACTGCAGACTAATGCCATACTGATGACGTGTCATTAACAAGATCTAGGTAGTGCTTCCAATTGGTCGTGCAGCGAGGGAAAGTTACTTCAACCAATCAGAAGAACAACCCAGGTCTGGGTAGTGATACGTCATCAGTATGGCAACTCTACAGTCGTTCCACAGTCATCATTTCGCGGGGAACCACTGATGTCCGTTGTTGTCTCAGTGTGTATAAATTGCGCATCATTTAAATAAGGCTTCTGCTACCTATGGTCTTGTTTTCCGAAACACTAGAACAATAACTGAATTATTCAGTAACTTTTGCCCATTTTTCCACTATATCGAAAGGCTCTGTCACGGATCAGTAGTTTCTACGACTAGTTATAGCGCGCGTGGGACAGAGCCCCATACTCATATAATATGGTCAACCTCTTTTCGTTTGGTTGTCACGTGATTGACCGAGCGTACGCGTCTACAGATTGTACGGGTGGGGTAGGGGAGACTATCAAAAGGAAGGGAGGGGTGTTTCAGGCATGTCTTGGCGAATCCACATCTTTTATGTTGGACATTCACAATATGGTCAATTGACAGCTGTCAAAACGGGATGGACAGCGACCAGTATCACATGATCATATCGCGCGCTCGTGTGTCAACTCATCGAGGTGACGTGAATTGTTTGGAAGCTGTCTGCTGATCAGTTAATTGTTTTATTAGATCGCGATCAATGTTCAATCTCATACTTTGTAGCTAGTTTGGGAGCATAGGAAAAATAATAATGCACTCATATTGGACATCAATGCTGTAATCAATTGACAGCTGACCGGTATCCGCTAACCAGTATAACCTTATTGTATCGGGGGCTCAGGTGTAGAACCATCGAGGTCAAGTATTTTTTGAAGTTATCCGCTGACAAGTTACTAGTCCTCAAATGATCGCAGGCTCAAGCTTAATTTTTTAAAAATTCATATGAATATGCTGTGCTCATGTGCCGCACAATTAAAATTTTGATTTTAAACTGACCTCGGACGCGAAAATTCAGCCACACAGTTGCTTTTAACTTTGCCCACCATGGTCACGCGTTGGTCACGCTCTACGCCCAATTTTTATGCCCTTATTGGTCAAAAGTTAACAGGTGAGTTTATGCCGAAATTTTATGCAGCATTTTGAATCTTGTTTACTTTGACAGTTGAAGTTTTAACAGTATTTTTCCACTGGATGTACAAAATGAAATTCAGCTGATATCAGGAGTCTTCTGTTATTCATGACTAGTTTGTTTATTGGGTTCTTGGTTGAGAAATACGTCACTTGTCAAATTCGGAAATCCGATTTCGGATAGCACCGTTTTCGTTTTTCACCTCGCTTGATGCGGAAGAGGGTTGAAAAGTCTGAAGCGATACTGGCCTTACTTGATACCTTTCAGGAGTTGCATCTCGAAAGGTAAGCCTGAGTAATTATTGTATTTGATGTTTGTTTTTAATAGCGGAGCCTGACGCCCGGCGCGAAGCGCTGCGCATGAGCGGAGCCCCATAGCTAAGGAAATGTGGTAATCTATAGCATCCGAGAAAATTTGGTAATCACGTGACCGTACACCGAGCGAGCGAGCGAACGAACGACCGTCCGTCCGCACCACAGGCATGCCAATGTAAAATAACTCAATCAACAGGTATGGCAACCCAAATGCAACTCAAGGTTTTATTTGGAACGAAATCACATGGCCGCCCGGACTTTTAGAAAGAAAAAACAACAACAAAGTCGTGTCTTTTTCGGCGTTATTTTTTATGTTTACAATAACTTGGATAACAGAGAAAGAGCTAGAGCGTGTTATTGAAAACAAAGGAGACGAATTTCGTAGGAAGAAAAACAAGGAAATTCGAAGCGGCGGTGAGAAAATGAGAAATGCTAGCGGCCAGCGAGGTGAAAATGAGTGGCAGTGAAAAATAAAAGAGAACATTAACACAGGAAACAAAATATTGGGTAAGCACATACGACGATTCCTCCATAAAAATAATGTGTAACTAGGAAGTTTGACGTTTTAGTCGTACAAAACAGCGTTCTAGTCGTACAAAACAACGGTAAGAGAAAGACAAAAAAGCGTACTGCACGTGCAAATTTGTTTTTTTTTCTAATTAGAGAAAAAGGGTGCTGCATGTGCAATTTGTGTTTTTGCTTATTAGATCTATTTGTCTTGAAGCCATTTCCATTGTCGTCCCCGTTTAGCATTACACGATTTAATTTTTTTTGGTTACACGTATTATTAACTAGAGCTTTGCTTTTAGCCCTGGATAAATCTATATATTATCTAATTTAATGAAGTCGATCTTGGTTTATGCGGCTATTTAGTTGATGCACGTTTGTAAGATTTAAGACAATGATCTGACCGAGTATCAGGTTTGATATAAGCTTACAGAACTTTAAAAAGCCTTTAGACATTTTCTAACCGCAAGTAGAAAGAAAACGTTTCAAATAATATTTAGCTACAATTCTGGATGTAAAAGAAAGCTTTGAGCGATTTTCTTGCCTCGAGTTCATCTTTGGAAAAGGCAAACACTGGGAAGCCGGCTTAATTAAAACATTAACTTATGCTTTAAGCTTGAAGACTCACCATTTTTAGAGACACTTTAATGCTTGTCCTCGTGAATGAAGATTGTTGTCTCTGTATATGTTTCACCGAATTATATTTCTTTTATTGATTGTTAGTAGTCTCTCTTGTAATTTTAATCGTTGTGCCGTTTGTTTTCAGTCGTCCGGTGAACATCGCTTGTAGGAGTACTTAAAATGCCGCGCGTATCAAACGCTTTTGAAGATTACACATCGATAAAACTATTAAATAAAAAAATAAACATAATAAATTCTTTATTATGTTAGAGCGTAACTCAATTAATGTTCATTCAAACACTCGACCGCAGCTCGCACTGCAAAATGAGAACCGGCTGGCCGTATAGCAGGGGCATCCAACGAGAATATAGTTCAAAACCACTTAAACATTGCATTGTTAAACGTGTTTTAGTATTTAAACGGTGGATATGGGCATATTTTTATCCCTTATAAATTTTTCATCTGTTCGGATTTCCTAGCTGAAAGTCTAGTGATCCGAAAATTATAAGGATCAAAACTTACCTGTTCGAAAATGTCAGCCAGAAAAAAGGCTCCCGAAAACTCTAGGTGACCTTTTTAGAGTAAAAATCCGTTGAAAATGGGCACTTTTACCATTTTTTAGATGTTCGAAAAAAAGACCACTCCTGCTTCGATCGTCCTGAATATTGAATGAGTGCAGTTTGTATTGCAAAATTGTGAAATACTGCATTCTGTCTGAGGTCTGTATCATAAAAACAGTGCCTCATAGTACTGTTTCACCTCAGATGTGATATATAAATGGTATGAAAGGTTGGTTTACGAGCACTCAGATTTGTTGACAAGATTTCGTAAAGTAAAGTTGTCGAACGCAAAAAATTTCGGCCTGATTTTTTTCCCAGGCCTAATTAATCCACGGTGATCAAAAGCCATTATGGCTCTTAAATGTGATCGAAGATTATTGATATTTTTTGGGTGTACATATGAGGCTATCAACTCGACGTAAGATTTGGTTCACTCTTGGGCTGTTTGCAAATTGTTTTTACCTAAAATCTCTTAGCCTTTCACTAAAAAGTCACATGAATGCGCTCTTAGGTTGAATTGTGGAATACAAGTTTATTGTTTGATTTAAATTATAAATTTATTAATGGGAGTTTCACTTTTTATCCCTGGCTAAATATCTTGACTATATATTAACATTGTTTAGTCACTCTTTTGCTTAAAACATTTTTTAATGGTCCTTAATGAACTTTTCAAATAACTCTATTGTTATCATTCATTCAACTTATTTCTAAGTTTCTGATTGGCTTTTTACGCCCGAATTATTTTTCGTGACCTGCTAAAGCTGACCAAGCAATTTTGCAAAGGTAAAAGGCAGGAGAAAATAATGGAACAGAGATGGAGCGCCCAGTCTAGCCCTTGGGCCGGATATGTGAATTTCACCAAAGTTAATTTTAGACCAATTAAACGCTTGGAATTATTCGGAAAGTTTTCAGAGAGGTCGGCAAACTATTATTCCGTGTTGCATAGATTGAATTCAACAGTCGCCATTACAGTACTCTGCATTGTTTGCTTTCCGGCAGTCGCGCTTGGACTTGATGACGTTTTAAACAATTGCCTGCAGTGTGTGGACGTCCCAGGAATTAGACTTCCATGTGGATACAACCTCTACAAATAACTTATGTGAAATTCACATATCCCGGCCAACGCCCTAAGACTACCCCTTTGTCCCATTATTTTCTCGTGGTAAAGGTTAACCCTTTAATGAGACACCTAGAGCTAGTCCCTGCCTTTTTCACTCCTGTTTTAGTTGATCATCTATATTAAAAAAGGGAATCTCTCTGTAACAAACACAATGTCCTAGTCCCAGCGGTTTAATCAGCTAAGAGACAGTTGACTGTGTGTAACCATGCATATGATTCGCGTATTAATTAAGCAGATTATGGCGCTGTCACTACTAAGGTTCCCAGGTTTTTTTTTTCTTTTAGGCAGACAATCCATTTCCTTTATTGCATTTGGAAAGACCTTCCAACTCATTTTAATTTACAACTCAAGAGTTTCTGCATTTCCGAAGAGAATTATACGTTATTTACTGTCAGAACAACAAATGAGATAAATTTTCTTTATGCTGATGACGCGTCATATTACATGTAAATGAGGTCTTCCTTCTTTGCTTTTTTTTTCTTTCTGTATTTCTTTTGATCATTTAACATTGCTACCTAGAACCTAAATTGTTTAGGGAGCTAACAAGAGAACCAACTGGTTCATTAAGCTTCCTCGCTTACACATTATGTTTAATACAAAAAATGCACATCGACAAGAGTATAATAAAGATTATTCTATTATTCTAATTGAACTTCAGTTGTTGAAGGGGCCTCCAAGCTTCTCCTCACATCTTTGTCTTCTTTGATCACTCTGATTTCTATTTCTTCCTCTGTCGCATTCATTTCTACACTCCCATGGTCTCCAACGTTACCTGAAACAAGAAAATGAATATAAGGGCTGGAAGAAGGAATAGAGCCTACGTGACGAACAGTCACCCTATGTAAGGAAATCCAAGACAGTCTTGGATTCTGGATTACAGGCTGTGGATTCCGGATGGATTCCACTATTTGTCCGTGAAACTTATATATTCTTGATTCCAATCTTAAGTAGGATTTAGGATTCCTTGACTGGTATTCCGTATTCCAAAGCCCAGAATTCCGGATTCCACAAGCCAAATTGTTCCTGGTTTTCGGATTCCAAAATTAAGCGGGCAAAAACTGCCCTGACTCCGGAATTCAGATGAGGCGAGAATAGCTTATTACCTTTCTGGGTATCGGTATTGTTTACCTGAGACAAGAAAAATTGTGATCTTGAACCGAAATTGAAAGTAATGAATGAATCCTTCAAACCAGACCTTTCTCTTACCTTCCTTTTTTCTGGGAAGATTCCTTGTCTTCATCAAATTCCAAACACCGCCTGCCACAATCATCAACACAACAAGACCAGTAGAAACGTACATGATGATGCTGGTTACTTCTCGATGGTCTAAGCCTTTTCTTGAACCGTATTCGTTCATATCAATTGGGGAGTTCTTCTCGCATTCTGGAGCTTCGTCAAAGGATTCAGTTACATGGTGATGCTTTTCCACCATATTCTGAACACACGATCTCGTCTTGCGAGAAGCACCTTTGAGGAATATTCCAACGTAGGGATTTCTCAACGCCCGTACAGACTGAAATTTTTCGTTTGTGCCTTCATCAAATTCTTCACAGTCATGGAGAACTATTCCCTCTATTCCACGAGTTCCTTTTTTCAAGTCTTTAATCAAACTTCCGGTGGAATTTATCTCTGAAAAGCATTACACACAATTGCAGATGTCAAGCATGAACTGCTACATTAACCAACATGACTGTATGGACTACAAAATCTGCTTCATTAGGCCAGGCAAGGTCCATGAAAAGGTAGTACGAAGGTTTGCAGATAAAGAGGGTAACAGAAGCGAGAATATCTAGAAAGTAGTGCATCCAGGGAAAATCTTACCCAAACTTTTTAAGGGTTTCTGGGTGCACGGTATACAGGGGTTCGTAGATTGGGAATACGGTATCTTCCTGAATATTCACATAAAAACAGAATGATGTTTCCGGGTCATGATAATGGATACTACGTTTTCTTGAGGTCTAGATATATTGAGACGGGAAATTTGGTGGAATTGAAGGTGTATATGCTAACTGCATGAACTGGTGTAATGGAATATTACTACCACCTGGTCATCACAAATCATCTCCAGATTACAGTACCTATTATCTTTGCTCCTCTGAGCTCTTCTTTAAAGAAACGCTTGCTATAAAAAGGGACTCCAACCTAATATTGAGATATAACTATGATTATATGCATGATTTAGAGTATATTTGTTTAGCAATAGATTTAATTTCTCAAAAATGTTTAACTTCCAAATTTTAGTCTGTGACACAGCACATGCATAACATGAACAGCAATTTTAAAATTCTCCGGGCAAAAAGATCCAATTGGGCTTCCAAACAGGGAAAAATAATTATGAGATGACCGGTGTTTGTACAAGCCCTTTTAAAGTATCTCTATAACACGAGAGAACTCTATGGTACCAGGCCGTTCTGCATGGTAATAGAGGCTCTAAAAACCAACAAAAGAAGAAAACGATAGACCTTTGTCCCACGGCGGACATTTTGTCTTAGGGGATTTTAAAAGCTTTGTTTGTGCACGGCTAGCCTCGTCGACAAAGGTCTAATATACAGGGCTGTCTATAGAGCGACTGCAAATATGGCGACGATCTCACCAAAGCAAGGCTTTTCGGTAGCAACCGTTGCTCGGGGCTGATCGCTTGTTTTTATGCTAATGCAAGTCCGTTATCTTATTGTTTTTTTACTCTGGAAACAATATAAAACGTTCAAGAAGTTAACGTCAGTTCGTTGTGTTAAAATAAAGGTCAGTGCTTTTTACTTTGCCTATACAGCTGACTCCCGATAACTCGAACCTTCAAGGGAAATCGAAAAAAGATCGAGTTATCGGAAGCTCGAAGAAAATAGCCAGGAGTAAGGAAAAACTGACAGTTTTTACTACACAGTGAACATTTTAATCACAGTTAATTGTAGAAATAATGTTAAGTGAAAATTGAAAGATACTTCTAGATTATAAATCAGAACGTAACCGAACAAAATGTTGCCTAAATAGAGCATGCGTTTTACTGTTTTGAGAAGTAAAGCTGTTTCACGTTAGATTTGTGACAAACAACATCAACCTCCACTAGTAAACTATATGCCTACAACACGTCAACGGGAATTCAAAATTCAATGTTTTGGACGCCAGTAGACTGGTTTTTCCCGACTTTTTAAGGGCTCAAAACATGGTTCGAGTTATCGAGAGTAAAATAATATATAAATGGAATGGCTTGGTGACCTCTCACGTGGTGATTTTCGCTTAGGGGATGCTGCCGACCATGAAACTTGAGAATTGAGGGAATAGCATCATCCTTTAAATATCGTCGACCAGTTAAGGTTACACGAAAATCAGTTATCTTGAAATGCAAGGTCTCGTCGAATTTTCACAAGCCACTCCTGAAGTATAAGTCGTATCGAGAATATCAGAAATCTGAAACGATAGGTTAAATGAACAAGTATTTTGAAAGTAGTACCTTAAGTCTTACAGCATCCGATGGAAGGCAATGATACGTGATCTTTTTCCCACCCGGCCCTACACGATAACCACTCTTGCAGCACAAAGGCACGCAACAACTATCCGGCATGTTTCACTATTTATAAATTTTACAGCAAAAATGGCATGCATGCAATCCAATTCTAAAAATTGAAGATCAGCTTTTAGAATGATAATATTTAAGCTTATGAACCTTAAATACAACGGATATAAAATATCAGGCAGTCAAAGTTATCGCGATCGCTACAAATCACTCTGTCTGATATCGCTGTGCGTCAGTTGATCGTTCAATTTAGCATGATAGAAAAACAGTATTCAAAGGGTACATACCAGATAGAAACCTTTTTCAGCGAAGAAAATTGACTTATTTTTGTCGAATTTAAAGGAAAAGACGCCTGAGAAGCAGCAGTCTTTCCAGCAACGGCACAGGTAAACACAGGCAACCGGCCCCTAGCAACGGTCGCTACCGAAAAGCCTCGCTTTGGTAAAAATCGTCGCCATATTTGCAATCGGTCTATTGACCCCCTTGAAAGGGTGCCTTAATATGAGTAAACGGCTAATGCAAGATATAGCTGCCTAAATTTTATAGTGGTTTGTATGGTGGGCGTATCTAACTTGGTACCCCCCATCACACAAACGCCTGCGGAGACATTTGCGACTTTGCAGAGTTATTTCTTCGTCCTTTTTTCCCAAATCATTCTCAAACTTGGCTATTGTGCTTTTTTTAGGATCTTTTTTCAGCGGACCCGGAAGATTTTCACAAACGGGTCCATGTCAAAATTTTGAAAACCGCGTTGAAAGGGTCTATTATCGTGCAGGGAAACAGTTTGAGAGCAAAAAAAGGTTAACTGTAAACTAGTGGTTTATTGAAGAAATGCTGTTGTTATCGGTATTCTCTGTCAGTTATTTTTCTTGTTCGTTAATCTGTCATATTCGCTCCGTTTTTAAACATACATTAAGAAGCTGTTTATGTGTTTTGGACCCCCCTTTCCACCTTCAATCATTCCTTGTGCCCACAGTAAAATGAAGGGAAGAAGAATTACTTTTTTCCCCAGGTACATGTCATGAGGCATCAATTTTTCAGACGTCATTCCAGACGTAACTTCGGCAGTGAACATTGAGAGGATTATCATGCCAGCAATCATCCAGACAGCGGAATAAATACGAGCCGGTAGAGACTTAGGAGTCTTATCCCCATATCTGAAGACAAAAGGAAAGAATTATTCTACACTACCAAGAACAAGTTATGCCATCCCCAGGTTAACTTTTCTCGAGCTCGTAAGCCACTGCCTCCTATACGGGAAAAATGTATGAAAATTAACGTTGTTTCATTTTCATTTTTTTTTTTTTAATATTCTTCTACTTGTATTACCAGATAATGTCACGGTAATTATGTCATTAATTTCTTACAGAAGTTAACAGTAACACAGACGCAACCGTTTGACCCAGTAAGGAATGTGGAGCTCTTGGAGAGAATCCTACTGAATATCACCATCTTCGTTGTGTCTCTCCGTGTCATAATTTCTAAGGCCGCCATGCTGCCTGTCATATTCTTTGGCCATATTCTTGTTCGTCCAACCTGCTATGTTCCATTCTTTCTCCACAGTCCTCCTCCAAGTCGTGTCTCCCTTTTCCACGCGTTCTTCGATCCTAACACCTATACTCGACTAGTGCAATGCCGTCATTCTCACCCCACCCCAGAGTAAATGGCCTGCCCTAGCGCAAATTACACCTACGTTGCCGCTCACAACTCATGTTGATGTCTGCTTGCTTACTCGGCACTCTCCTTTTTGTCCTCTTTTACTGCCATTTGATCTTCGATATATTTCGTTGACAACGTAGGCTCCAAGGCTAACCAAACTCTTAAAGATCCTCCATCTGTCCACCGTTCACCACAATCCTCTCCTTGCTTTGCGCGTGCCCATTCCTCAAAGTTTTAACGTTTCACACTGTTTTTCTTCATCATGACTCAATTCACCACCAGCAGGACAGATGCTGTGTCGTTGTTGTTCTTGTTGTTGTCTACAACTGCACGGTCAAAGCCTTGTCTGCTATTAAGGGGGCAATCTGGGTGCTTTTGTGTGGGAAATGATGTTGATTTAGGAAGAAAATAAGTCAGGGTAGAAAAGGTATACACATAAACCAATAAGTCCGCTTAAGGGATCAAAGGCACCTTGTTGTGGTAGTGGACTATATGGCATTTGTATACTTATCATTCACTTTACATTCTAATTTTTAACAACCCCCAAATCCAATATTTTTCAAGTTTCGAAAAATTTAAACACCCCTTCCCCGTATGTTTATTTTTGTATTAAAAACATTCGAAAAATCATACGAAAATTCTGCAAAAGTTATTGAACCAAGGCTGACTAACTGAGTCATTTTTTGATTGAATGAAATCTTTGATATTTAACCAGACTCTCCTTAAAATCATTATATTTCTAGCATTTTCTAGGTATTCCAAAATTTTGCAAAAGTTATTGAACCAAGGCTTACTATTAGTAACTGAGTCATTTTTTGATTGAATGAAACCTTGGCTTGATGTTTAACCAGACTCTCTCCTTAAAATCATTATATTTCTAAGCATTTTCTAGGTATTCCAAAATTTCTCATGATGATCCAAAAGCTTATGGAATCGCATGGAATCTGTGACGTGTGCGGGCATATTTGTCCTTGTCCCTGTTTAGAATTAGTCTCCTCTCATTCGCGTGTTCTAAGTGCTTATTATAAAATCTGTTCTTTTGTGATTCTCTCTGTCGGCAGGCAGTCTGTTCTTTCGAACCCTTCTGCTTACATCATTCCTAATCAGAACAAGTAACATCCCATGCAGAAAATGCCTTACCGTCTTAGCAACAGATTAACTCCTCTTCAGTTACTACTTAAGAAATAAATTCAATGTTGCCTTGCGTCTGTTTAGTAATAGGTCACAGAGGACATCAAAACGTGGTAAAAACAAAGATGTGCGCTAATCACACAAAACGCGTAGGAGACAATAAAACAACTTTACAACTCAAGACGTTCGCAGAAGTTTTGCTCACTGGTTTATCTTTTTAAAAATATTCAAGCATTTTTAGTTTTATTACATTTTAGTTTCCCGTGACGTCATCCACGTATCTGTACTCTATTAAATAATGAGAAACGACCAATCATAGCGCCAGCGTAGCATTTACGGCATTGTATGAAGCTAGATGCCTTCCCTTAATAATTATTTTAACGATGGTTTCTTCCTTCAACAAGGCTGGAGACTTTTTAAAATTACACATTTTAATCATGATCCTAAGACCATGACCACAAAAGGGATGGTTGCATGATCCTACTTATTAACGCAGCTGAAGCAATTTCATGTTGAAAAGGAGTAAGGGTTTTCCTACTCACATTACGTGACAGTACTCCTTCTACTTACCCAACAGTCGTCATTGTAACCAATGCCCACCAGGCTCCTTCACGAACTCCTCTCCAAAAAGACAAGGGAAACTGGCGCTGGTTAATTTTATGATCCTGATTAAAAATAAGATAGAGAGAACAGTAGCAACGACAACTGTGTTTTCTTTCAAATATTTTCCCTTTAGCTAAGGTAAGCTAGAGTAAAAAGCAATAAAATAGAAGTCTACACTGACGGAAAATTTCTCTCATTATCAACCGGAAACCAATAGTTTGCGGATGATGAAAAAAAAACATGACTACCTCTGAATTGCGGTTTTGGCCTCAATTAAAAAAAATTCTTAAAAAAGAAATTAGTACGAAAAATTGTGATACAAAATGTGCTGCTCGCAGACTCTTTCTAATAAATGGCATCATAACTCTTAGCCAAAGCAATTGCATTTTGCCCATGGGTACAAAAAAATAGCTATGAGAAGCCATTTGGTGTATCATCCATCCATCCATCCATTTATCCCCCCCTCCGCCCCCACTGGCCTTCAAGAAAAGACCGACATCAGAAGGAACATCTTCCTGTCAAAAGGGCAACTCTTAATGCAAATCTTAGATTAATGGATAGGTAAGCCCTTTTATTATAAAACACAATTTTCCAGCGTTTACGTGTCACTAGTTGTTAATTTCTTTCTATCCTAAATTTTAACTTCTCCTGCCCAAATTCATTGCGCTTTTTTATTCTTGGTTTGCAGCCATGTGACAAGGTGTTCAATACAATAAACAATTTTTGGAAGTATTTACATGAAAATGTTGCAGTTCGCAGAGGAGATAAACCTTTCGTTCTTGATCACCTACATCGCCGTTGTGACGTCTGGTGTATACCAGCAACATACTTGTCCTAGTCTCAATTCATTTCTTGTTTTCTGTGGCGGGTACCACTTAGTTGAAAGTACTATTTATTTTAACTAGTATCTGCTTCATTTCAGCTCAGTCAGTGAGCAGTCTTAGAGAGTAGTTAGTTCTACGTAGCACTTACTCTGCTTACTGCGCGCCACATAATTATAACAACTACATGAAAGATAAGAAACCGAGATATTTACTCACAAGTAGCCATATAATAACTCCTGATATCAACGTCCACATGACACATAGGAGCAGTGTTATCCACATTCGGCTAAAGGAGGCATAGACCACTGTAAACATGCTGAAACTTTGCTTTTCCACTACCAAATATGCCATCGGAGACTTATAACTAAACACAGTCTTTTTTTTATCGTTAGTGTAGTAGGGGTATGTATACAAAATGTTAACGGGACGCCTTTGGACAGGAGGTTCTTCTAAGCACTTTTGTGACACCATTTTCAGGAAAAATGACCAAGTTTCTTTTTTCCATGGCCCTTCGACCGGATCATACTTCGTTTGAAACTTCACTCTTCCCCATCTGACATTTATGAAGCGGCATTTTGAACTGGTATTTCTTCGTGCTGTAAAGTCGTTATCTGTAACGTTTTTGCAACATTCAGATTTTATAGTAGTTGCGGTTATCTGATCATGAGATCCGTTACTTGCGCAAGAATCCATTCTCTCTTTCCAGCAGGGAAAGCTGTAGAACTGCTCTGGCAAAACGCATTTTTCAGCCTCATTACAGCATTGTTGAAAAGCTTCAGTTAGGTTGATGCTGGCGCTGGTTGGATTGCACAATTCCTTACAGCCAATGGCTCTGCCATCACCTGAAATCAATATTATAATGAAAACTAGAGCAGTTGTTCTTTTCATTGTATCCCCAGGCAAAAACGACTTATCGCTACAACGCACTTGCCTTGGTGTTCTTGAAGACGGTTGGTATATCAAGCAGATGGTAAGAAGGTTTTCGCAAACATCACCAATGATAATTATCATACGCTCTACCCGGAGTGTAGCAGTTAGATGTTGCAATTAAGGACGCAATATTTGTCAAGTTTTCGTCGACCGAATAAGTTCTTCTGGCGTCAAAATTTAATAGAAAGACAATTGACCATAGCTCTAATTGTGGAAATATTTGCAGATATATATGTGCCATATCATATCACCTGTTTTAACAAATTAAAGGAAATAGAATTAAATGTTTTGGTCAGAAGAAAAATACGGTCGAAACCTACTTTACAAACTCTTCATTACTAGGCTGGGACAGCTTCCCCGGGTGGGGGGTAAAATCGATACCCTGTTTAAGACAAAAATCCTGAAAAACATACCCTGGCTGGCCGCACGTCCCCATTAAGCCCTTATAAGGGAGTACCCCCGGGGAAGCTTCCTTGCTACCAAGGGAAAGCTAGATCTTATAATACCCAAAATTAATATTGTCTCTGAATTCAACCTCATCAGACACCCGTCTGATGCAAACAGTGGACATCGATCAACAACCTGACTCATGATGCGCACACTATTTTATCCACTGTGTGCTGCAAATGAGCCTTACTTATTGCATCAATTCCTCTCACGGAATAAGAAACTCAATCATAATAATAAAATGGCTATGTGTTTGAATATTCAATAAAAAATGTCAGTATAAACTTTTACTACATGTCTGTTGCCTATTGTACCAAGATGAGGGCAATAAAACTGCTATACTGACGTTAACCCGTTAGAAGAAAAAGGCAGATAGGGGGAGAAGGCGGTTCGTCAAGAACAAGACATTCATAACCTATAGCTGTATACTTAGACTCGATTCGATGCCCTAACAACCTCTCTTGGCATCACGGGTAATGCACTGTCAAAATTTATAATAATCAATCGCATTTCGTAATTGCTGTCACTATTTGCAATACATTAATCGCACTTAGATACACCAGCGCAATTTGTAATAAAAGTGTCTTTTTAAAGCTACGCAACACAATTTAAAAAACACAACAGTAAGTGGCGGTATATTTTCTTGCTATTATTTATTTCCGGAAACAGCCGTCGGCAAATGATAAGAAACGATTAGGAGGTCAAGATGGCTTATAATGTGTGGCAGCGGAAATGAATTACACTATGGACTTGTTAACTAAAAAAACAGCGGACAGGTTTTTCATGACAAATAGTCAACTTTGCTATCATTGAAAAATGGTGTTCCACTAGGAAATCATTCCGTCAACAAAAAGTCTTCTATCATTTTACTCCTAAAGGAACTTTTTCCGTATTTAGAATTTTTTTTTTTTTTTTTTTTAAGGGAGGATGATATGTTACTTTTATCTTGACGCGCATATGGTAGAAACATGAATTTCGTTCAAATCCCTTGGAGAGCAATTTTCAGTACCCTCATAACCCAGAAAAGGTTTTCGCTATTTCACCCAGAATTGAAATAGTAAAAGGCTGTTATCTGTGAGCAAGGAGAACCAATGTACCAAAAGCGTGAAAAAAACCGACATGAGCTATTTTTACTCAGTTCAAAGAACCATATTACGTTTCTTGATAGAGCGACAGTCATGAGACAAAAGACAAATGGTATCCATATCTGTTTAAGCGCCTTGAAAACCAGGCTTGCAGTTCCTGACGAGATGATTTTCATGGCAAGAACGGGCCTAGGCAGGCCTTTTAATTTTTTATTTGGCCATGTAAATATTACCGGAAAAGTTGCATTTGTCAGGGTTTTGATGATGATGATCACATGTAAGTATAGCGAGAAATTTGTCAATTGCCTGTCAACTGAGACCGGCAATCAGAGTTAGGATATTGCAGACAAACTAGTAGTCTACTATGTTGGAAATTAAGCCCCTTTTTGGACTTCCCTTGGACTTCCCGCATACTAATTTGGATTTCCTGCATACTAATTTAGTGCCTTCCTCCATATATAATGAAGTGGTTACTAATGAGCGTCTCCCTTATTCAATAGAAACAACAGACATGTCCCCAAACTTGCCCGTTAAGTAACTTGAGCTTGGTTTTCAGACCGTCTATTAAAAGAGAAATACGAATAAGAGAAGCGATCGACTAGCAGCGCGAGAAAATGTATTTTCCGCTGTTATTCCAAGTAAATAGTCGCAGTTGTTCTCTTTTCACACCTGCCGCACCCACTATTGTGCATTCTGTTTTGCATTGATGTTCTGATTGGCCCGTTATTAGTATTTATACTCTCCGTTGTCTCTTGAGTACCATTCACGCTCGCGGTTCCATACAGTTTATTTATCTTTCTGGTTTGTGTTTTTCCTATTCGTGTGATGCCCAACGATCAAAAAGAGAGCGAAGGTTCGTCCGTGCGGGCTGAAGTTGGCCAAACTTCAGGTGATAGTGGAGGCAACTCAGCAGCCGTTGATCAAGTCTTTTCCATGTTTAAGGATTTTCTTGAGAAAAAATTAGAAGATAAAGGAAAGCAAATCGAACAAAGGAGTAAGTTAGATAAAGAAGTTGTACAGCTAAAGTTCAAAGGTAACCAGAAACAATTTGAGCTTAATGCCGAATTAGATGCCATTTTTGAGAGCATTGAAACTGAAAGTGAAAGCATCGAGCCAAATTTGTCGCAGATCAAGAAACTTTCCCAAGAAGGCAGGCAACGTATTCGAAAGCGACAGAAGCTGATAAAAATCGCTGATAAAAGTAGGGACGGCTGGCAGGTTGTAGCCGAGTACGAGTCGGACGAGCTTGCATCCGGCTCCGAAGATGAAAAGCGTCTTAAGAAGGCAAGAGAAGCGGCGAGCCGCAAGAGACGTCAAAAGGAACAACTCTCCAGCGATCGTGGAAAGAAACCAAAAATTGCTTTGGGCGCTGATAATCAGCTTTTTCGTGGTAAGAAAAAGGAGCCTCCTCTTTACTTTGTATATTCATATGTGTTTTGGATCTGCTTGCGCATCCTACCATATTTCTCGTGTGATTTGTTTGTATTACGGGAATTGATTTACGTTCGTTTGAGCGAAGCGAATTAGAACGTAAATGTATTTTCCGCTGTTATTCCAAGTAATTAGTCGCAGTTGTTCTCTTTTCACACCTGCCGCACCCACTATTGTGCATTCTGTTTTGCATTGATGTTCTGATTGGCCCGTTATTAGTATTTATACTCTCCGTTGTCTCTTGAGTACCATTCACGCTCGCGGTTCCATACAGTTTATTTATCTTTCTGGTTTACGCCCCCCGTTTATTACAGGTTTCGTCATTGCTGTTATCTTTCAGGCCGTAGAGACGCTTCTGGCGACTTCTTTCGCTGTTTCAAATGCGGCAAATTTGGACACTGGGCCAAGGACTGTAGATCCATGTGCTGGTCGGGAAGTTACCAGTCCCCTAGCTACAATTCTTGCCCTGGAATCTCCTACAACAAGCCAACCGCAGGCCATTCAACTCAACCAAAGCAATGAAGATGACTTGGCGCAGGTAGATCAAATTACACAGAATTACGAACTTGAAAGTGGACATTCATTAAGCGTTAAGGGTAATCTGAAGAACAATTTAGGTTTCTGGAGATCTATAGGTGCTCCGGATTTTATTTTGTCTATTATTGAAAACGGCTACAGGCTGCCGTTCATCAGTTTTCCGTTGGCCGTAAAGCTAGGAAATAATAAGTCAGCTCGACTTCATGCTGATTTCGTGGACCAAGCCGTTCTTGAGCTTGTTAACTCTGGTCGGGTGCGTATCGTGAATGAGCAGCCCGTTGTTGTAAATCCCTTGTCAGTTTCTATACAGCCATGCGGTAAAAAGAGGTTAATTCTTGATTTGCGCCATGTCAATAAGTCATTAATTAAGCAAAGTGTTAGGTACGAGGACTGGAAAATTGCTATGGCTTATTTTGCGAAAGACGCGCACATGTTTTCCTTTGATTTAAAAAGCGGTTATCACCATATCGACATTGCGCATGAGCACCAAACTTTTCTGGGGTTTTCATGGCGGTCGTCTGATTCCGTTAATGAAGTATTTTATGTTTTCACTGTGCTCCCGTTCGGTCTTTCCTCTGCCCCTTATGTTTTCACAAAGGTTTTGAAGCCTTTAGAAAAGTATTGGAGAATACAGGGTCTTTGTATAGCCATCTTCTTGGACGATGGTTGGGCGATTGTTCAGGATAGAGAAAGTTGTCGCATTAAGGCCCTAGCTGTAAGGGGGGATTTGTATAACGCGGGTTTTGTCGTTAACGAAGACAAATCGGTATGGGAACCCACCCAAGTATTGGACTGGTTGGGTATAACCTGGAATTCTGCACTGGGTACTTTAAAAATTGTAGAGAGAAGAATTCTTAAGATTATCAGTACAATTGATCATATTATTGAAGCCGATTTCAAAGTGTCTGCGCGAGAGTTGGCCTCCTTCACAGGTCAAATTATTTCTACCGGGCCTGTAGTTGGTAACATTGGCAGGATAATGACCAGACATTGTGTCTTGTCCACCTTGTGCAAAGATAACTGGGATTCTGTATTCCGTCTCGACGATTACTGTAAGGAAGAACTGTATTTTTGGAAGGAAAATATGGTTAATATCAACTCTAGGTATTGCTTTGTAAGTAAAGACCCTAGTTATTTTGTATATTCGGATGCCAGTGCTACCGGAGGTGGAGCAATTATTGACTTTAACAATGATTTTGTGTGCCACAAAATGTGGTCGGAGAACGAGAGAGTTCAGAGTTCAACGTGGAGGGAGTTGTCTGTTATTGAGTTTTCATTGCAATCATTTGCCTCAGTGTTGAAAGGATCACACGTTAAGTGGTTTACTGATAGCCAAGCAGCTGCTAAGATTGTTGAAGTGGGCAGCATGAAATTAGGTTTGCATAAGATGGCCCGAAGGATTTTTGATATTTGCATTCGATCGGGGATTCATTTAGAAGTGCAATGGATCCCTCGCACTTCGAATCAGCAAGCTGATTATATAAGTCGTTTAATTGATACTGATGATTGGCAAATTACTGAAGAATTTTTTCTTTTTCTTGATGGTCGGTGGGGCCCGCATAGTGTTGATTGTTTTGCTAATTATTATAATCACAAGCTCCCCAAATATTTTTCGAGGTTTTGGAACCCCAATACTTCGGGTGTTGATTTTTTCTTTCAGTCTCTTCGAGGAGAAAATTGCCTAGTAGTCCCTCCGGTTGGTATCGTCCCACGCGTATTGCATTATTTGAAATCTCAGCGGGCCGTTGGTACGCTCGTTGTACCTCTTTGGCCTTCGGCTCACTTTTGGCCTTTAATTACACACAAGTATAGTAGTTATCTTGTGGCTCACAGTATTCATATCGGGAATGAGGTTCTAACCCGCGGAAGAAACCTTAATTCGCTCTTAGGGTCTGATCTTTTCACAGGAAATATTATTGCCTTTAGATTAAAATTTACTGAGTAATTTATTGGATGGTGTGTCCATTAGCCTAATGATTATTCACATTTGGTGGCGCTGGCCAAAGCAATATGTTGTTTATCTATGTGGCACTGGCCTAATTTATAGTTTGTCATTTCATGTGGCGCTGTCTTTAACAGCGTATAGTTGATTTATGTGGCGCTGGCCCAATCAATGGTTTTTGATTTACGGGACACTGGTCCATTCAATAGTCTATCGTCTTATGTGGCACTGGCCCCAACATTGATCGATTTTTATACGGTTCTTTTTTGTTCTTTTATTATATATGTTTGTTCTTGTCTTTCCAGGTAATCTTATCAAGTAATTCCTGGAAAGGCTTTAAACAATTTTCTTCAATCAACGTTTATGACGTTTTAGAAGTTATGTTGAAGTCCAGGGCGGATACAACTACTAAAGCCTACGTTCGCGTTATTAGAAAGTTCTTGGAGTGGTCTAAAGGTAGACATTTCAACATGCAGTTACCTTTTCCCCTTAGTGTCGTTTCCCTATATTTATTTGAAGTTCAGCAGTCTTGCACCTCTAGTTCCTCAGTAATTTTAGCCCATGCTGCCCTTAAATGGTTACATTCTTTTGTCCCTAGTTTGGATCGTAATCCTTTGGATAGTGAATTTTGCAGGAATATTATCGAATCTGCTAAACGCCAGAAATCACAGCCAGTAATGAAAAAGAAGCCTATTACCACAGAAATCATAAGGAGTATTTTAGATATTCATAACAAGAAAGATGCTAATTTGAAGAATCTTCGTATCGCTGCGTTATGCTCTTTAGCTTTTGCAGGATTTTTTCGTTACGACGAATTATGCAATATTGTTCCTAAGCATATCGAATTTCACAGCGATTATATAAGAATCTTTGTACCTCGTAGTAAGACAGATGTTTATAGGGAAGGGAATTTCGTCTTTATTAGTGCATCCAGGTCTAAGTACTGTCCTGTTGGTGTTTTACAACGGTATTTAGATTTATCTGGTATTGACTTATGTAGTTCTCTCCCTTTATTTAGACCGCTTGTTTTTCACCGTAGTAGTTCTAGCTATACTCTGAGAAGTGGAAAGATTTCTTATACTACTTGTAGAGATATCTTAAGGGATACCTTAAGTCAGCTGGGCCTCAACCCTAATGATTATGGTCTTCATAGTTTAAGATCCGGTGGTATTACTTCTGCGGTGTGTAATAGTAGTAACTCGATTCCAGAAAGACTTCTTAAAATACATGGTAGATGGAAATCTGATTCTGCCAAGGATATGTATGTTGAAGAAAGCCTTGAAAACAGGTTACAAGTAACTAAGTATTTAGGTTTGTAATGCATTATCGAGCTTATATTAATTTCTCTAAACAGTAGTGTGTAAAAAAAAAAAAAAAAAAAAAAAAATTGTAAAACAACAACAACAACAACTTTGTAATTTCTTTTTTCTGCAGTCCGCTCTGTATTAGTAACTATCTATCTCATAATAAACTGTTTTGGATCTGCTTGCGCATCCTACCATATTTCTCGTGTGATTTGTTTGTATTACGGGAATTTAAGGGTAAAATGATTTACGTTCGTTTGAGCGAAGCGAATTAGAACGTAACGGCTTCCTGTATCTTATTTAGCAGGGCGGATAAATGTTGGGCGGTGAAACGAGCGCTCCGCTCTTCATTTAATGTGTGATGCGGAGTAGGACTGGCACGAGCGCTCTTTCTGCGCTTCCGGTGCGCTTGAGGGCTCGGCGAAATTTTCCTTTTTGCAAACCGGAAACCCTATTTTCTTTCTGTAATTTCAGGCTACAATGTTAAATAGATAAATTCGTTTCATAACAATATCAATAAACAGTTTCATATGTTTGTGTCTGTACGTCTATAGGTCAACCTTGTTGGTCGTATAATGCTAAAATTTGAGTTTAATTTGAAAGTGTTGAATACCTCCTCCTTCCACTAAATATCACCTTATCGTCTTTCGACGTTTCGTTTGCAAAAGCTTAACACTTCTTAACCTCAATTTTTACATATGTTAAAGGGGGATAAATTTTATATAACATAACAAAAAATTAGATTGATATATATTGATAGAGTGGCGTTGTACTTCTTCAAACTTTGCTTCTCGGGTGCAACGCGCCATGTCGATTCGCTCAATGCGTTGCAAATCCGGCAACCGAGTGTAAACAAAATTTATAGAGGTTAGTTGTAAGGTTTTTTCTCCGTTTTTCTCTCTAAAACAAAACAAGGTAAACAGGTCGAAAGACTGAGGGGAAACTAATTTTGAAGTTTCGAACAAACAGAAAGACGTATGAGATATTTAATTCAAAATTAAAAAGAAGGATGATGGTGATTGAAATTAGCATAATTTCACCTTGCACGAGCTGCACGCCTTTATAAAATACACGTCATCTAGTTATGAAACACGATCTGCTGTCTTTTAGTTTTGCCATGGATGACATGGATCACAGGTGGCCCAAGCTCAGTGTGTGAGTTTAATCGTTAACACATGTAGTTTCATATTGCGTAATTTAAAATGGCCGTGAATATAAAGGATTTGTATGGGAATTCAGGTAAAAGGACAAGGTCCTTTCTCTTACAGTGGAAACTCGGGGTTAAAGGAAATCGCTTAAATCGCAATGGATCGGAAAAATAACCACACAGCAAACAAAAACAAGCAAATTAAATACGGTAAGCTGTATTTTACTGAACATTCTAGCGAGTATTTATCGATTTGAATCTTTACCTGAATTCCCATACAAATCCTTTATATTCACGGCCATTTTAAATTACGCAATATGAAACTACATGTGTTACCGATTAAACTCACACACTGAGCTTGGGCCGCCTGTGCATGGATGAGATTTTCCTTCTTGTTTTAGACAGTACTTAGTTGTTTTTGTTTTGGAATAACATCGACATTGGCGAGTAGCAGAACGCAAATAGTCATGGAAGTAATAAAAGAAACCCTTTGAAAGAGATGTTTGTCTACTCCAACTAAACCTCCCGCAAAAAATTGCAACATTTGCCTCTCGGAGACAGCGTACCAGCACAAAGGAACGAGGAAGAGGTGCAAGAAAACAAATCAAGCCGCCATAATTCAGTGACAGCGGCAGTGTCTTATGTACAAACCACATCGCAAGCCCTTCGCAAGCCCTGACCGAAGTCCAAAACAAGCGACATTTCTAAGCAGAGTCCCAGTCCACTGCATCACACCTTTTTGCTCGGACGCGCTCGTTTCACGGCCCAACCTTTATCCGCCCTGTTATTTAGCGCTTAAACTCAGATATATAAACAAAACACATACACAAAGTGGAGTTGAAAAGTCTCTATTTAAATTTAGTTTATGTCTTCTTATTTAGCTCTAAAACCTGGATATATATAAACAAAACTCGTATACACAAAGTGGAGCTGAAAACTCTCTATTTCAATTTTGTCTGACGTTTTCTCCATTCTATCTCAAGGAAATGAAAAACTATTAAAGTCTTGTAATTTAACGCGCGGTTAGTCAGATAATTATGCGAGTTCACAAGCCCACCGTTGCATACAAATTAGCTCTACAGGAAAGACCCAAGGGAGCACCTTGACGTACTATTATATAAACAATTTGACATAACTTAACAAGGATCAATTAAAACACGCGACTAATAATTGCTAGCAATAAAACCACAAGAGAGATACCGTTTTAAAAAATTTATTGAAAACAATGACAATGAAGAAAGGATCACCCTCGAGCAACCTTTATAGCTCAAACACCTTCGCGTCAGGGAAATATTGATTCAATTGCTTCAAATACTGGAAAGAAAATTTCATTGACAATATTGCTGAATAATTTCGATTCTACACTGCAACATGTATGATCTCGCACAATATAAACTAAATGAGCAACTACCACTGAGACAACATTTATTATTTCAGCAAAAGAACAAACAGCGCAAAATTTGTACAAAATTAAATACCCAACACCTTTGCAAACCCCTGGCGACGCTCGTAAGACAAAGCCTACGTCGCAGACGTAATCAAACCCCAGTTAGCAACGTCTGCGAAGCAGAGCCGAGATCCTTGTTCCGAGTCGCTTAAGGACTCAACGAAACACCGGAAATGCGTTTCGAATTTCATTTAAGCCTGGGTCTGGTTGGCAAAATGAGAACAGCTATTTAACAGGCCAATTATGGTACGTATTCAATCTTGGTACACAGGTGCGCCGGGCCCGGAGCAAGACTGTCAGCGGTGTTTCACAGACGGACTTAACCAGAGTTAAGTTTTTTCTGTAGCGCATGCGCAGGCTGGTAGGACAGCATTCTTTGAAAAGCGGAGACGTGCGGTTAGGAATGCACCAGTTGATCGTTGTGAAGTCAAAAAAAATCAATCAGTAGTTTTTTCTAGCAATCTTTGTGACTTGCCGGGTGTTGGGAAAGGGATCACCAAATACATGGGCTCCACTCCACTGACAGAATCAGTGGGTGAAGTCAAAGGGTGTGTGCAGGGAATTGTTGAAAGCAAAAATAAACGAAAAATATGTGCCGATTATTGTTAATCAAAGTAACCGGGGGACTGATAAACTGCAAGGCAGTTAAGCCCACAGTAACCAAGCGAAAAAATAAAATAAAAGGCGTTGGGGGGTTAAGGTACAACAATAGTGAGGGACCCATTAACTGCCATGCAGATGACGTCCACTACAGTATTAACAATGGGTTGCCCTCCGTCCATGTATATTGGTATTGTGTAAATAAAAATCATAAGGAGAGTAATAAGGAGTGTAGAGTTAGTAATGGTTAGTTGTTAGTCGTTCTTTTTGTCCATCAAGGTAGAGCCATTCATCATTGTGTAAGTCAAAATAAAACCAAATGTGTGGCAGATGTGTTGTCCACTTTGTTGCGTAGAAAGTCCAGTTGTCGAGCGCGTTTTTCGGTTTTTTTTTCTCTGAGGTCCAGTGTTGTGACGTTAAGATCCAGTGTGAAATGAGGTTGGGTGAGCAGCCATTGCCAACTAAAAATAAATATAGTTTAAAGGTGTCTTTGTCGCTGATAGGTTTCTTCCAGAAAATTAACTAAAAATCTTCTGGCCAAACAGAAAAAGGATAAAATGCGTCGCCGTTGATTGAATTAAAAAGATTGATGTGCGGGAGAGATTACGGACGTGGTGATAAAAGTGAAGTGAAGAGTGGTTGTCCATTGTACTAGGCAGTCTGTTAAGATAACATTACATGAGGGGGTGAAGTAGAAGGTGGAGATAAGGGCATCAAGAAGTTAAGTCGTAAGTCAGTCTTAATTAGCATCATAAGTTTGATAGAAATTGTCCTATTGTTATTTGGGGAAAAAGGAAAACGGAAGAAGAACAAAGAGAGTGTGAAGGAGAATGGAAATACCCGGGTTTGGTAAAAAACGATGCATCGACACCAAGGCTCTTGTAGTGTTGTGAATAAACAGGGGTAAAGTACAACTGAGCGAGGATGTTTCTAGCCCGGAGCCGACTCTTTACCCGGCATCCTCTATCTCCTCCCACATTGACACTTCATATAGTTTCAATGTGGTGGCTATCAAGTACAACTTTTCATTTGCATCTTCTCTCAGTCTTTTTTCTATTTCTTTCATTTTTACTAATAATCTCTTTACTTGTATATACTAATTATTAATATTTGATGCCTTTACAATATAGCTTATTAGGGTTTAGTTACTATTACCCCCCCTTCCCACGCCCCCTCGAAGTTTTTCCTCTCTCCCTTTTTTTCCAGGACTTGACACTGTATATTTGTGTTAGACATAACTGCATTAGAAAATAACAATTACACTTCATCCATTATTATACTACCTCAATACCTTCAATACCT